CCACCCTAGTATTAAGAAGCTTTAAAGGGTGGTTTCGAATAGCAATAACAGGTCAGATTTTAAAATTTGGGTGGGAGAGAGAAATGCATGGATCATTGCACCGTAAAACATTAATGGTTTTTAAAGTTACAGGAGGAATTTCTAGCCAAGACTTAGTGTTGCCAACTGCTTAGTTCTGGCCTGCTCTTATACTTTAATAACAGTTGATATGTGGAAATTAGTGGGTGGAAATGCCCAAAGAATACATGGAGATCAAAATTTCCCCCTCTAGCACTGCCCTATTAGCAGTCCAGATATAAGAAACAACTAAAAAACTGAAATTGATGCCTTTACCAAGGAAAAGGCTAAGCAGCATAGCAGCTGGACTGGCACAGATTCAATGCCTCTGTTATTATAATATTTTTGCAGCAAAATCATTCCCACAGTGTAGGTCCTATGCAGCCAAAACAAAAACATTCATGTACAAGAGAGGACTATCAGCAGGCTTTGGGAGGGATCCCAAGGTTTGCAGAAGTACCAATGATTTTTAAGGGGAGAAAATCCCTTAAAAGTAGACATTGAGGACTGAGCATAGTCAGAGGACAAGGAATATTGACTGACTTTTAGAAGGTTATGGGTACAAAGATGGATAGAGCAGGGAACGGAATATTTTGGAAAAGCATTTAGCTGGGTGGCTGGCACCTGAAATTTCCCTATGCATCTTGATACTCAGATGCTACCACAGTACTGAAATAATGAAGAGGAAGAAGAAGAGAAAGAAAAAAGAAGGAAAGGGAATTAGAATCTGCCTCCTTTGGGTAGATAGGTGACCTATAAAACAAATAGCAACCCCAAATACCAGCTCTCATCACTCACCTCCCATTTACTCCACTTTGTAGGAGAAGGTTTCTTAATCCTTGGGGAAAGATTAGCTTCCCGGACTTGCTCAGTACCTTCTTGGCTCCTTCCTGCCTGTTTCCGCTGTGCCATCACAGATTTCATGTTCTTCCTCACTCTTGCACGCTTCTTGCTAACTAGCCTTCTACTCCAGCGAAGCACAGCCTGCCTCATTCCCCTCCTCCGACTCCCATTCATAGTTCATCTCCAGTCCCAAATCTTTTCTTCTGTTGGCAGTATTTGACATTATGTCTGCCCCCAATTTATGGGCACAGCGAAGAAAGATGTGCTGCTTGCAGAAGCAAAGAGAAAAGAAAGAGGTTCATCACCCCACCCCACCCCACCCCACCCCACCCACTCCTGGCAAGGTTGCTATGCTTTTGACATGTGATAGGAACTCACATGGTGCAATTCTCCCCAGTATTTGTGCATGAAATAATGCAGGGGGAAGCAACTCGGCAAACTTTCCAGGGAAAGAAGAGACAACTTTACCTCTACAGAACTTCTAAACAGTCTACGTTATTCAGTCTTCTAAACAGTCTTCTAAAGAAAAAGCTTCACATGCAAAGTTTCTCAGCTTTTCTCTGACTGTACTCTGCCAACACATGCATATTAGCTATGAACATTTCAAAATGTCTTTAGAGTGGAAGCCCGGTTTATAATTTCAGATATCTTGCTAGCAATTAATCTGTTGCTAAGTGAAGAGGAGCAAAAGTATATTAAATTAAGTGTATTATAAACCAGAACTATATCAGTGGAGGAAGAGAGTGGAGAGATGTGTATCATTTTAATAGATTTGCCACTTCCCAACCCCCAATGAAATCGCATCTAGATTGGTCCTTATACTCAGCCCTGCCTTGCTATGCTATGCTATGCTAGTCGCAAAGTCACGTCTGACCCATCGCAACCCCGTGGACAACATTCCTCCAGGCCTTCCTGTCCTCCACCATCCCCCGGAGTCCACTTAAGCTCACGCTGACTGCTTCAGTGACTCCATCTATCCACCTCATCCTCTGCCATCCCCTTCTTCTTTTGCCCTCAATTGTTCCCAGCATTAGGCTCTTCTCCAGTGAGTCTTTCCTTCTCATTAGGTGGTCAAAGTATTTGAGTTCATCTTCAGTATCTGGCCTTCTAAAGAGCAGCCCTGCCTTACTGATATTCAGTGAGTGGACCATTATCACGCCCAATGGGACAGTAGCATGTAATGGTTAAGGCAAAGCACAGCTCATGGGAGATAGAGTTCAAAAACATGTACCGCACCACTGGTTTCCCACTTCTGGGCTATGGTGTTGCTCTGTGAAAGGGGTATTTGCAACTGGCCAAAGACCATTAGGTACAGAGTGGTCTCTTCAGGAGTAGTCATGCTATTGTCTCCCTAAGGACACCATGACTCACCCCCCTCATTTGGGGATGCATGTACCACTCTCTGGACTTACTCAGCCACACTCTCTCAACTAGCTTTTTTTACCCAGGAGAGGCAAGAACTGAGAGGGCAGCCACTTTGTTAAAAGCACCTAGTCTACATGTATTAGTGTTTCAGTATCTATTTTTTACAAGTGTTATCTGTGCCATTGACAGCCCAAGCAGGCACACATGGGATCTCCAAATGTCTAAAGCAAAATCAAGTTATACAACTGAATATCAATACACAGTTGCTCAAGAACACAGGAAGTCCTTGCAGACTTGGATCAAATTGCACCTAGGCTAGCATTCTGCCAAGAATACTAGCAACCACCCAGAATCACTAGGATGACCACTGGAAATTGGCAGGTGGAGTTGCAGTCCTGAAAGTGGATGGAATTCACAGTTCTTGGACCTACTTTGCTTTTTCCAGTGGCACCAAAAACCACCAACTAGAATCAGAAGCAAAATACAGGGACTTAGAAATAAAGGTGTCTCTGAGCATATTCTGAGCCTTTTAGTACTAAAACCAAACTGAGTCCTTTCCAACAAAAGTCCACACCTGTTTACACCAAGCTTTCATCTTTTCAGAAGCCTAGTTTAGGCAGAAAAAAAGCATTTTGTTTTTCCATTCTTAAATAACTGGCAGTGCAGAAAACATGCCAGTCTAATGCACTCAAAGATCCTGATTTATCTTCTGCCCATTCCTGTCACAGTCTACCAATTTCCACCCACCAATGACAGTAGTAGAATTGGTCAAAATCTCTCTTTATATTATGCTGCCACCATGTGGTCATAACCGATTTTAATACTAAAATTTCCAGAGGGTTTATAGAGGAATTGAATTCATGGACAGCTCCTGTAAAGAGCAAAATAAGGGCTGTAATGCATGAGGAGCCCTACTGCCATAGCAGACACCAGCCACCCAGCTCCCTGGTAGATCTCTGGATCATTTGCACAAGATCCACAAATGCTTCTGACTATGTACTCTTTTAACAATAGCAATGACAAAACGACCTGGTTTTAAAATGCATCCTCTCTTCCTGGGCACTAATTTGCATCTGGCTTCTGCTGGTGATTTCAGTGATTTACTAAAAGCAAAACAAAACACACACTACCCCCCCTTCCCCCCAGGTCTGAAGTCTGGCCTTGGTACTGAATACAGAATTATTGGGATGAGCTTTGGCAGCAGTTTCAATTTATATTGCCTTGAGCTGTGAATGAGTAATATAATTCACTGTTAACAATGGTCAATGTCAATGTCTGGCTAGCCACTTGAATGGCCAATTTGCCTTCAGGAAAAGGAACTGAGACTTCAGGTGCAATCCTATGCAAGTTTAGACCAGAAAAAGGGGCCTACAACTCTCACCATGCCCTAATAGTGTGCATGTATATATAAGAGACATTAATTTCTTAAGGTATATGTGCTGAGAGGCTTTTTTCAGTTTTGTAGCCACCTCTCCCAACTATCCACTGGGGATCTCAAGCCACAACTTGCATCAGGAGTGTTTTCCTTTACTTCACTTAGCTTGCACATTTGAATTCAGTCACCTTGATTTGACTGAAAGCCATAACAAAATCAATATAGCATAAAATCCAGAAACAATACATACAACAAAATGTCAAGAACCCATGATTTGATAGGTGGGATGTGATTTCTGAAAGTGAGGGGAGTATTTCAGAGACACCAGATGGATGCCTCCAATGCTTCCATCTAAACCCTGTAGAACTCCCTACAGTTCAGAGGAATAGAAAGTGCATCCCAATACCTTAGCCTCCCCTAATCTGGTGGTCTCCAGGAGCTCTGTGTGACAACTTCCAGTATTCCTGACCATTAGCTATGCTGCTTTGGACTGATGGGAATGGAAGTGTAAAACATCTTGAAGGCACCAGGTTGGGGAAGGATAGCAGGGAAACTGAGACTCATGTATTTTGGCCACAGTATGCGATCAAGCTCAGTAGAAAAAGATATACTGCTTGGAATGCTCAGCAGCAAAAGAAAACCAGGTTGCCAAAGAGCAAGGTAGTTAGACTTCATAAAAGATGATGCAGGCAAGAGCATAGTTCAGCTGAAAGAGGTGGCATGGGATCAAACAGTATGGGGAGATTGAACAACACTAGGGAAACAATGCTGCATATAGCATTGGCTTGCTCAAAAGATGGAATTTTAGTTGTATGTTGTCCTTATTCTTGTTATAGGTTAATTTTTACCTTTTGGTAACTGTCCAAAGAGCCTTTGGCTATTGGGCAGTATAAAAATGAAATTAATAATAATAAATGGGGGTGGAAACAGAAGAGAACTCTTCCATGTTGTTTCTTAAAATCAGAGCTGGCCATCTTTCCAGTGTCAACTTGCTTTTTTTCTTTTCCGTTTCAAAGGATATCTATTTTCTAATAAGGTCTTTTGTTTTGTTTTGAAAATACAATTCTTCCCCTGAAATGCAGCTTTTCCATGTAAGCCTTTGAAATGCTTGAACTGCAGTAGGGATATCTTGTGTCGTGTATAATGATGGCGGCAAAAGGGCCAATGGTTCTCACATCGCAATTAGTCATTAAAAGGCAGTATGAGCGGCCCGGACACGCTGGAAGCCACGTGTTCTTCCCCGCTTCAGCCCAAGAGGGAGCTTTAAGGGAAGGGTCACTTTAACAATGGGCGGAGCTCCCGACGACTCGGCACGAGTTTCTCTTAAGAGTCTGGACCCAGGCCCACTTCCTATTGGCCCTCTCGGAGCGCAGGGAGAACCGTCCCTTCGTGGCAATTGGCTACCTTTCCGATCCGATTTCCTCCGGATGTAGGGACGTTAGAGTCGGGTATAAAGGACTCGTGGAAGGCGGGAGCGGACGCAATTTTGAACTGGCAGTGGCGGTGCAGGACAACGGGGCTCTTGACGGCGCGGCGGCAGGGCTTTCTGAACCGCCTTTCGCGTGTCTCCTTCCGGGAGAGAAGGGACCTCATTCAAAATGGTAATAAGCAATGCGGGGAAGGGCGGCTGGGTGGGTGAATGCGAGAGCGTGCGCACCCCTGAGCTCGAGCGCGGCTGCGACCTTTACGTGAGCTGCTGAGAGGAACGTGCGTCTCGTATTACCAACGGTTCTAATATGGGCCGCGAGGGGAGGGGGGAGGGAGGGGTGCTGTCTGCCGCGCGCACACCATTGCGGTGGTCGGGACGGTTATGGAGCTACTGAGGCGCATGCGCGTCCGAGCCGGCTGGTGGGGGCCGTGGACGCACGCGCGTCCGATCAGTAGGCGGCTGTGCATGGAACATAGGGGCTGCTTAGTGCGCGTGCGTGGGACTTCTGCGCGCATCCTCGATGCTTTTGCCTTTTATACGGGGCTCTGGGGAGACAGCACCAGCGATGCAACTAGGTAATTTCAGATCCTGGCCTTGTCGGGAACCCCGGCAATGTGTTACTTGCTTTTTGCAGCAGGCGAGTAGCTTTTCTGTTCGTCCCCATGCCATGTTCTACAGTTCTACGTTGCTGATAAGCTTGGAGTACCGAAACAGGTTTGCCACCCTTGCTAAAGAAGGCTTTCTAGTAGTTGTAGCTTCCTAATTTAAAATCTGCTAAATCATGGCCTTGTCATAACCATAGTAGTAAGCTGGGTTTTGTTTCTACTGCTGAAATGCTAGCGCACACATTTTGGGATTCTTGCCATTTTGTTGTAGAAAAAATATATATTTTTAAAAGTGTCTGTAACCATGTGTATGTTCAGCGGGCTGCCCTTGCTTATAAATTAACTTTTAAAATGAGAAAGGATGTTGTGCTAAACAGTGTTGACTCCAATGGGTATAGTTTGACACTGCCCTGCCACTTGTAGTTCTCTGCATAGCTGTTCTGATGGTCTCTAGGCTGTGCAGCTCTCTACCCCAACCCTGTGGCCTAGGCCTGACTGCCTAATATTGCTGGAGAATACATAGTATTAGGGACACCATTGCTAACTGACCACAGTCTCTTTTCTTTCCTCTACCTTCATGCATTAGGCTGGTGGCAAAGCTGGAAAGGACTCTGGAAAGACGAAGACCAAGACAGTGTCCCGTTCACAGAGAGCTGGCTTACAGGTAGGCACATCTGGGAGATTAAAGGATGAGTGTTGACTGGTTAGCAGCAACATCTTTTTGGTTCATCCCTGGTTAGGAAGAAGGAGTTGCTCTCTGTTACCTTACACTCTGGCTGCTGGATATACCAGCAGAAGTGCAGGTGGATATCCATGACACCCAATGAATAAAGAAATTAATTTATTTGTACCCTGCCTTTCTACCAAAAGATGGTACTAAATGCAGCTTACCCATTTAAACTTAATTAAAATAGCAGAATGATGCATAAAAATACAGTAACAATGCAATCAACAAGAAAACGTTTTTTTAAAAAATGAAAATGGCACCCAACCTACACACCTACAGGCTGAATAAAGCAGTATTTGATTACTAGCAGAAGGACAGGAGAGAAGCAGCCAATCAAGCTTCCAGTTTTGGCTCTCTTGGGACACCAACAAACACACTCCTGAATGGGGCAATTTCAAAAGAAGGGCCTCTTGATAAGACCTTAAAAACTAGGTAGACTTATATAGGAAAAGTGTTCTTTAAGCTTCCTGGCCTCAAACCTAATCAAGTCTTATGTCAAAACCATCACTTTGAATTCTGTCCAGACGTATACTGGTAGGCAGTGAAGCATTATGACAAGAGATTAATGTGCTGCTTATAACAAGCTCTGGTCAACAGTGGCCATAGCATTCTGCATGAGCTCAAGATTCTGAACAGTTTTTGAAGGCAGTCTTAGGAGATCACACTATAGTAATGGGGTGTAACTAAGGCATGTATGAATGTAGCCAGTCTGAATATCTCAAGGAACTAGCATAATTGCCACACCAGCCTGAGCTGCTACCAATATCTGGACATTCAGGGCTAGAAGTATACCTGGACGATGAGCCTTAAGTATTCAGGGAGCGTACAATCCCTTTCAGGACAGGTTTAATACTAAAACTAGCATTAGTTTCTTGTCTATTTTTAAGAGTGCTTTGAATATTACACAATACTTATTCAGACCTTGACACTTCTGTCTACGCAGTTCCCTGTTGGCCGTATTCACCGACATCTTAAATCAAGAACTACCAGTCATGGCCGTGTGGGGGCTACAGCTGCTGTATATAGTGCTGCTATCCTGGAGTACCTCACAGCTGAAGTAAGAGCTTGAGTAGGGGATGAAACTATATATAGTCTGAGCTATGGCATGTAACTTGCACTTTGCTTCTGCTAAAATATTCCTCAATTATACTATTATGTAACAAAAACCACAGAAATTAAGGCAAGCAAAATAGAACTGAACACTTTCAGAAATAACCATTTTTATTAGATTTATACCCTGCTTCTTAAACCTTATTACATGGAGAAACTTGCAGCATAGGTGTGTTTCTTTTTTCCGCAAACCATTACACAGCCCATAATAAAGAACACAATTTGGAGTGCTAATAACTTTAAAGATAGCTATTTACCGAGCCTTGTATTTTAATAGAACATGGGTATAGCATGTAGAAGCCACTTTTTTCACAGGCTGGGCCTTAACTGCAAAATGCTTTGCAACTTCCACTTGCTTGGTCTACTGAACTGTTTAAAAATGTTACAGGTTCTTGAACTAGCAGGAAATGCATCCAAAGACTTGAAGGTGAAAAGAATTACTCCTCGTCACTTGCAACTTGCCATAAGAGGTGATGAGGAACTAGATTCTTTAATCAAAGCAACAATTGCTGGTGGAGGTACGTTCTAAGTAATGATCCTGCCTGTAGTCAATGTTAACCTTGCTTTGTTTTGGCACTGTTAAAATGATAAAATATTGGTGCCTTTAATGATTCAAACTGAAAACTTTTTTTCTTTTTCTCAGGTGTAATTCCACATATTCATAAATCTCTCATTGGAAAGAAAGGGCAGCAGAAAACAGTTTAAAGGATTCTTGTTAATTTAGGACTGTTAAAGTGCTCTGTTCAGTGTTGGTGGATTTCCAGTGGACTTCATCTGTGAAACACGATTTTGCCTTTCTGTAACCTTGAAGCTGGAACCCATCAAGCTTTCTAACAAACCAAAATTCTACATTGAAGTCTTAACCTTATTTAAGTGTTACATGGCTTCAAAGAAGCTGTTGTCTGTAGTAGTTCTAGACTGTCTTTAGATCTGTTGGATTTTAATGAGATTCTTGGCATTGCTGATTATTTTTATGCATCAACTTCCTTCATTTGGTTATTAGACACTAGCATTTAACTACAAAAGATTCTTGACACTAGCACCCTTATGAAATGAAAATGTCAAGAAACTGCTGATGTCAATCTCTTGTAGTTAAATAAACAGCACTGGGGGGTTTTTTTGTGAAGACCTTATGTTCAGTCTGCTGAATAAATTCAATAAATGTTATATCATTACAAACTGTCTGCTCTGGTTAAGCAATAAGCATGTCACTTGAGTCATGTTTAACTTGCTTACCAAAAGAATGTGATTAGTTGGGTCCAGATTCTTACTGTTAATACAAACAGGATAGTTATGATTAAATTTTTAGTGTACCATATATATTGATGTATAAGGCAACCCTTGAAACCAAAAATAGCAAAGCAAAAATTGGAGGTCATCTTACATGCCTGACATAACAATCAGAAAAACAACCAAAAATATTGACCTACTTGTCTTGTATGCAAGTTGCCTTCTATGCTGATATATATATGGTATTATGCAATTTATGGCTGTGTAAGAGTACTATGGATGTTTTTAAAAGTTCAGCATATAAAGCAACATTCTAGCAAAATCCCTTTCTCCTCTGTGACCAAAGGCTGCCAATAAATTAATGTATGGTTGCACCTTAGCTGCAAACAGTCTGAGCATGTTCTCAGTGTCTGATTGGAAGTCAAAGTCTCCATCTATATAAATGCATCAAAGTATCAGACTAAAATTACATTAATCACTTTGTTTCTGCTTATTTCCCATTCTTTCAAGATTATTTAACCCCAGTCTGACTTATAGTTCATATACAGGCAGTCCCCAAGTTTATAAACATCTGAGTTGTGAACAACCCATACTTATCAACTACCGTAAAGCCTATTACTACTTTTAAATACTGCAGGAAAATGGTCCTTGCCATAGAGAAAGTGAAAGGGTAGAGAGGGAGGTCTCCAAACTGCCATCTTGCCCCAATCAGTAAGGAAAATCACTGGCATTTCTTTGCTGTAAAGAAGCACTGGTGAGTTGGGTGGGTACAGGGAGAGAAATTTGTGTTATTTCCACTTTCAGGGGTTCTGTGCCCTTAACCCCTACAGGTGTGAAGAGCTGACTGTGTGATCTGACCTACATTCAAATTCAAGATTTTCATGAACAACTCATTTGTAACCCAGGGACTACTTGTATGCTCATATTGTCTCCAGTGGATTTCTACAGTTTTAAGGGATTCAGAAAAGGTTTTATAGAGATGTTGGTTCAAATTTAGTGTTAAATTATGTTTTTCTGGTATACTAGATGCTTGGTCATATTAAAATATTGTTTAATGATAGGAAAAACAGTGCTTCCTAGTCTATAGCATTTTTAACATACAGATGATAAATTCTTTACGTTTTGCAAAGGGATAGCTATTTTATTTGTTGACCACTAATGAAGGTTCTCCGAGTCGTGTACAGTTGAGGGATTATGTACTGACAAAGGAATGAAATAGAATGGTGTTCTTCCTGTCACTTGGTAGTGCTATATACATCATGCAATGAAAATGCTTCTATCATGTAACAGAAGGAAAATCTGCCTCAGTCTTAAACATTTGATTTAAATTACAAAGTGGAATCTCTCATTCTTGTTGAGTACTTAATCTCACTTAAATAGGTTGGACCTTCTTTTGAAAAGGCTGGTTTATGGAATTTAATGTGTTTAGTTATTTAACACCAACTTTGTTTTTCTGTGTCTCAGTAATAAAGAGTTAGCACTTGAAAAATCAATGTTGATCATGCCTTCAGTGAATTTCAAGTCAGCCTTATGTTCCTGTACCTACAAGTTCTCAACAATATTTAGTTCCTGAGTTGGAACATCATTTTCAGGTGATAAAAAGCTTTTGCAATCAAAATTGAAATTGCTTATGCAATTTTTCCTCTGTTTACTTCGTATTCAAAGATGGTGCCTACTCTGCTTATACTGAAGTTCAAAGCAAGTCTTGCCATATAGCTTACCTTTCAAAGCTTAGAATGGTGTGATGTTTGTCAGTGAGGGAAATGAGGCCCAAATCAAAGTCCTCAAATACAAGTTTTTTGCAATGTAAATTTCATTAACAAATAGACTCATTTTTCCAGTTTAAGAGAATTCTAGAATATTAATATGCCTTTATCCTGGAACATTAGCCCAAGAGATGGTAGGAAGCAGGGAGGGATAGGAGTGATGAACACTCAGTGTGTGTGTGTGTGTGTGTTTTTAAACTCTCCCTTAACAGTGGAAAAGGAAGGTGAACCACTTGAATCAATGATCCAATGAGCAGAAGCCATGCCTTCATCTTGCTTCAGGAACCATGGTTGCACCTGGTTCTTTCATCCATACTATGAGGGAAGGCACATCACAAGCTATTGAAGGCTTTAATGAAGCATGCCGCCTCAAAACTTTTTTGCTTCCCTCCATGGTCCCTCGATGGTGGAGCTGGGCCTGGCCCATAGTTACTGGTACATATGATCCACGGGTTTTCAGCAAGTCAAAACTCAGCTTAACACACGGGTTAAAGTGCTATGTCATGAAACCGCATACCAGGTATAAAACGTTATCAGCGGAAGGGAAAAAGTGGCCGGGGTGTCTACAGCCCATGGAAAAAGGAGCCAAAGGGCGTGTCCTGTGATGTACTGAAGACGGGTCGGCCCGCGTTTACCGACGGCGCTGCGGAAGCCGCTTTCAGGTCGTGCCATCTTGAGGCTCGTGCTCGTGCGCATTTGGGTCCGGCGCGTGCGCAAAGCGAGCCTCTCCAGCGGTTGCACGGGCTGGCCCCGGAAGCGGGCGGCGAGTTTCAGCTGTTGGTCCCGGCCGGCTCCTCTCGAGCAGCGGCACGAGCCTAGCGTTGGTCACCGGAGAAGAGAAGGGCGATGCAGCCACGGGCCGCCGCTGGAAGCGGCCTGTCCGGCACGGAGTGAACTGAAGGCTGCGCAAGCGAAGCCGCTGCCGACCTCCAGCCGCAGCCCGCGCCCGGCGCCCCCCCTCCGTGGTTCCTGGCTGGCCTCGCCGCTCTGGCCCCGTCAGGCCCCTTTTCCCTGCGCTGCGGCGGGCGGAAGCGGCGGAAGGAGAAGCCCATGGAAGGGAACCGCGACGAGGCGGAGAAATGCATCGAGATTGCCCGAGAGGCCCTGGAGGCCGGCAACCGAGAGCGAGCGCTGCGGTTCCTCAACAAGGCCCAGAAGCTTTACCCCACCGAGACCGCCAAAGGTGAGATCAGCGGGCCGCCCTCACGGAGGCTGTCAGAGGAGCCGCGCCAAGCTCCATTCTCTTTCTAGGGGGTGTGTTTTTATTTATCACGACCTTGTGATATCATGGCTTCCCTTCGCGTGTAGACACAGGAGGTTGTAAAATAGGGACAGGAACTAGAATCGTTATCAGAGCCCCGGTTTGAAAGTATACATGCTTTCACTGTGGCTGCTGGTATGGAGGATTCGGCCCTTTGGTACGGTCCCGAGGAGAGCCTTCCCCAACCTGGTAGTTGCCGGATGCGTTGGACTATAATTCCCAACGCTCCACAGCCACCTGACTGTGGGATTATGGGAGCTGTAGTCCAACACATCCGACAGCCCCCAGCTTTGGAGGGACTTTAATCAAAGGGCTAGCTGCAGTTGACATTCTCCTCGTAGCATTACAGGACCCCATTCCCCATGGCTCCCACAGAGCACATGCATGCCCAAACCCCGGTTTCTGTTTACTTATTTTGCTCTTCTAACGCTTAATTTTAGGGAGATCAAGGAGAATGGGAGAGCCCCGATATGACTATTTATATATTAAGCAATAGTATTTAGTATTTATATAATAAAACTTTAAAAATTCATCATTTGCATTACTTTAATGGTTACAACAACCTTGTAAAGTAGGTTACTATATCCTTCCTTCCTTGCAAGGGGATTTAGGTTTGAAGGCACTTGCCTCAGACTAGGCTTTGTTAAGGAAACTGCCATCCTGTGTCCTGTCAACTGTATTATAACTATAATGGTGTAATCATAACCACCCATATTACATTTATCTCCTTACTTCACTTCAATCATGCTTAGCGGAGCATGCTGTAATACATTGTAAAAGAACTAACTGTGAAGCATATTCAAGTACCTACCTGTTACTTTATTGTCCTATCTCTCCCCCCCACCCCCCGGAGCCAAAGATGTTGTACATGAATCTCCTCTCCATTTGATCCTCACAACAGCACTGTGAGTAGGTTTGCATATGTGGTTGGTCCAAAGTCATCCAATGAACTTCATGACAGCATGGGGACTTGAACCCAGACCTCCCAAGTCCCAGCCTAGTGTTCTTACTAATACGTCACATAGGTTCTCCCATTTTCAGCATCCTTTCCTCACCTATTATTGATGAACTCCCTGAAGTCTACAGTTGAGTTAGAGAAACACTCGGAAATGCTGCAGTTGTACTTGTTGATGTTTCTGAAATTTGATCTTACCTACACAGTAAACAAACTGCTTAAACAGTGTGATGCTGTACTACACAAAGAAAACCCCAGTGAATTCAGTACTCCAAGCTACCCTGAGCAGCTCACCCCTTGCCCATATAACTTTGCATCATTAAGGATTAGGAGTTAGTTTCTTTTAAGATAATAGTTTAGATTTTCACATAAATATAAATATATGTTTCAAGGGAGACTTCAGTGTCTGCTTCCCACAGGCAACACAACATCTGAACCTGGACCTTATTAAGAAAGGTCTAATCCACCACCAGCACTACTATAATTCATGCTTTTTTTATAATTCCCATCATGCTAGTATCTGAATTCTTAGTTTTTAAAATCAGTGATCCTCAAACTCCCAGTTTATAGTACTTTCTGTAGCCTAATCTAGGCTGATGTTTGAAGAAATGCCTTCCTGATTTGTCCACCTGCTCCAAAGACATGTGAAAGCACATGCAGGTTTGCTTTTGTCTGTAAACCGAGGTATATGTGATTTAAAATAGCTAGTCGTACTAGTGAGCTCCAATCTCCACTTTGCTGTGAAGCTCACTGGATGACGTTAGACAAGTTTCAAATTCTCAACCTAACCTATCTCACAAGATTGCTATGAGAATAAAATGGAAAAGAGGATTATGAAAACTACCTTTGATTCCTTGCCAAAGAAGGTGAGATATAAATATTATAAATAAATAGCATAAATGAATAGTCTATAACCATATTTATGTTTCCTTCTGACAATATCTATTTTAAGCCAGCCAAAAGACCTTGAGCTACTTGGTTACTTTAATCTGTGAGGAATAGCTCTTGTTCAAACTACTGTTTACTTTAGTTAATCTAGCAGCAGTAGTTCAAGTTGCATTAGGCACTGGAACTGGGCCTATGTGCTAAGTGTATAACATGATCACAACACTGCTTCCACTTAAAATTCAAGTGTCCATATGACTTCATTTTTATGCTTTTCTTTGGTTGCTAGGGTGATTGGGGCAGCATATTAATTGAACTTTGCAAATATACCCATAGAATTTGCTAACTTCAAACATACATGAACCTATATAGCTCCTTATTTGTGGTTTGGAACAAGTGTACTGAATCTACAATAACAATTCTTCTGCAGGTAGGCCTGAGTGGGACAATACAATTACAATAGAACATATAAAGCCAGGTCCCATTCATACTTTAAAAAGAAAAGTATGTTTAAAAACCTGGAAAATAAAACCCTTCATTATACATTGTAAAAACATTTTGAAAGTCAAGTTCCATTATCTCATATTGGCTAAGGTTGATGGGAGGTGTAGTTCCAAACATCTGGAAGACTCTACACTGGAGAAAGTAAATCTAGTATATGTAGGCCCGTTGGTCCCCGGACCCTTCCTTTTCTTTGGATTTGCCTGCTCTTACAGGAAGACTTGGTATTATATCTAAATACTTGCTATTTATTTTTGTCTAATACTTGGAGATAACCAAGACCTTACAAGGCAATATGAACTTTAAAATTTTAAGAAATGGATGGCTCTGATATATAGAGTTAATATATTTTTATCATAGTTCCAAACCAGGAACATCAGACTGTAAAGGCTTTTATATAGGTATGTCTTACTATATAATTTGAGAGAGTCTAATTTAGCAAAGTCATAACATGGTTCTATAATATGATGATAACTCCAGGTAAGCAAGAGAATCAATTGGACAGTTCAAAATTTGAGTCAGACACAGTAGCAGGCAATGTAACAAATAAGCTATTGATAGTAGAAGTGTTTTAGGAGATTTGCAAGGGTGGCATTCTTGTTTATCAAAACATGTACTTATAGATTCAAATTATTTATAAAAGAATATTGTACTTTACCATTGTAACTGGCTGTTCTTCAACACAGTGATGTCTACATCACTAAGGCACAACCCTGTGCATATTTAGACAAAAAAAGTCCTACAACTCCCAGATTCCCCAGCCAGCATGTAGGACATTTTTCCTCTCTCAACATGTATGGACTATATCCTAAGCTAAGGCATATCACACCCAGCACTGAAGCTCGCCTATGTGCTTTTTCTTACTTGTAAATAGTAATGTCTCATGGTGGGTTGAATAGAAATCTATTAGCAGTTTGGTATTTGAATCATTAGTTTGAAACAATATTTTTGCTAACTGTTATTTGAATCTTACATTGAATTTGTTGCCATGCTTTATATCTGCACTGTTCATGGACAGAAGCAGTAAATGGTTTTTTAAAAGTGTGGTAACCTTACTTTCAACCTACAATATGTGTTCCCCTTTCTGGCTTCACTTCATTTTTGAAGGCCTATGACCTTTAAAATTGTGTATTCTCTTAACAACTGATATTAGCATATTAAAAACAACTGATATTAGCATATTAAAAACAATCTCAGCTTTGTAATTTTTCAGTTTCTGAATTAAATGTTGATGCCCTCACAGGTATTGTTTAGCTGTCAGAAAATGTATTTATCTTAAATCCATCAAAGACCCAATTCTTTCCTCACTTTTCTGGTGTAACCCATATCAGCAGAGCAGGTGCATTTGCTTCTTGTATATCTTGGCAAAGCGACTTTTTTCTTTTTCAGCTATTAATAATATTTTTGTGATTAAATTACCAGTTGTTACACATCATTTTTCTAAGAATTTTCTTAGCAACATGTATGTATGTATGTATTTACATGCAATTATCTATAATTGCCAAGGCCGTCCTATGTCTTAAATATGACTTAAATGCTCTGCACCATTTTGTTAGGGACTAAAATAACACTGAAGTCATTAAAATAATAAGTTAGGATGTATTTCCATGTTACCCAGACAATGCCATAGGTCATAGGATAGGATGAAGTTCCAGCTCTGGCCTGGAGTCAGAACTCAGATTCCTACCCCTGATGGGCCACCTTCTTACAGCAGGTAGTTCTTTCCACCTCAGCTGTGTCTTTCTTCAGAGCCAGTGAGGGGATTGGGCAGAGCAAGGTACTGTTGCCTTCTGAGATATCCTGGCAGTGCTTCAGCCTTTCTTTCTCATGAGGAGCAGGAAATCATTGAATTTTGCTGCCTAAATGCACTGCTCTTGCTTTCCATTAAATGCCTGTAATCCTTCAAGTTCAGAGACAGCCCCACTGGAAGACACCCCTATTGGTTATTTCATGCCAATGTTACCAATACTATTTGTTCTTCTAGACCAAGCAGGTGGTAGAAATGTGTGAGATGCCATAAAGTCTTTTTTACTAACTTAAGTATATATTTGTAATTGAATATTATGATGTGTATATTATATAGGTTCAAAATTACATTAGTTGGGAATTTTAAAATTGGGACACTGGTCCGCTGACTGTTCAAATATTTTCTCAGACCGAGGCCCCTGTGTAGGTGTCAGTCTGTGTTTCCCTTTAGTTGCATCATGATGTCATCTAATAACAAATTTTAGAGTGAGAATAGACGGTATTTGTTCGCGTTCATCTTTTACAGCTTTGTAGCTATTTAGACTGACTTAACATTCTGGAATAAAAGCAAACACTTATCCTTTTGGTCAAATAACAATTCAGTATCTTCATCCCACAGAAGGTTAGTGTTATCAAGAGACTGGAATTGTCCACTTCACACCCTGTATTCTTCCTAGATAGAATTTTGATTTCTGTGCATGTGAGTAGCGATGGGATATTGAAAATATTTTTTTTTAGTCTTATGCTCAAAGAAGCTCAAACTGAATTTTGTTTCCTGAGATAAGAAAAATTGTCATGAGTGAACCACCATTTTAAAAATGGTGTGCTAAGATCAGCCTAAAGTTTTGGAATACATTGAGAGAACCTACCTTTCATATGTCGCCTTATCAGCAATATTGGTATTTATATAATTCAAATTCTTTTTCTCTCTAGTGTTACTGGAAGCAATTATGAAGAATGGCAGTGCTGCAGGGAGTGGCACTCACTGTCGAAAGCCAGCGGGGGGTAGTGATCAGAGTAAGCCTAATAGCATGAAGGACAGCAGTGCATCTGCTGCAGGTGAAAGTGGGAAACCCTACACTAAAGAACAAATGGAAGGAGTACAAAGGTATTGCTTTATCAACTGACCACTTCTTTGATAGTATTGATGATTCAGCCAAAGAGCACAGATAAAGATATGACCATTCAATTGTGCCTGGTGTGGTTCTGTAGATTTTAGTGCTGTTTCTGCATAATGACAAACCATTTTAAAAACAGAAGGTTTGTAAGGGATAAGAGCAAAGAGAGCACTTGACTGTTTCACTTTCACTCAGAAAGCCTCAATCAGTTTGTGCTGAATGGACCATCCAAATGCAGGTTACCGGTCGGATTAGGGTCTAAGCAACCTAACAGTCTGGGTTCAGATGTCACACTCAGCAGGAGCTAATCATGGGTTCCTAAGTTAAAATGGAAGTTAGGCATGCTGTAGGCATGTGCACCATTTAGTTGTCTTTAAGTTAAATTGTTGAAATCTCTATTTGTTAAAGTGTTTTAATGTGAATAGACTATGCATATTCTATTATAAAGTGGTGGTTGAAAATATTTTCTACAGTTCTTTGGATGTTACACATGTATTAGTGTTACCTCTGATCTGTTCACAATCAGCTAAGTATGGCTTCATTTGCAAATAGATCATGATTTTATAGTTGTTTATAGAATAGGAATATATAACCTAATGTGAGGCATAGGCATGCTTGGTCTTGCTGATTCTACTTATCCTTGGAGTCCCTTCAATTCAAAGAAAGTCAAGTATATACTGCATTATCATCCTATAATGGAATGTTTGTGCTAAGTATGAAAGTTAAAAAGCAAGGTTCCCCAAACTGATACCACCCAGCTGCTTTAAATTACAACACCAAATGGCTTTCCTGACCCTTGGTCATGTTGGCTGTGGTTGATGAGAGCTGGCATTCAAAATACCTGGAGTGCGTTCCAGGCTGGGAAGGCTGTTTTAAAATTTGATGGAAAATGGGCTAGTCACACATTTGCTGCATTTGAAGGCATTTCATTTTCTTTCCAAATTGCTCAGAGAAGTGGGCAAGATTGTTTTTCACAACAACTCTTCGGGGTTGGTTATTTGGCTGATGCAGAATCATCCTATGCACTTCCTCACTAAGTGGAAATTTGAACTTGTTTCTCCACAACTCTAGTCTGACACTCTAAACAGGCTCGGTTTCATTTTATTTCAGTGCAGAAAACTATATCCACAGCATTTGGATTGCCTGTAATCTTTACCTTGAATGTATGAACATGTGTGAAGAAACATACCAGGGGAGATTGTGGAACAGATCAAATAGTCAAGTGACTAGATTTAGCATACCGTTACCGGTATAAAGTCTAATAATATGTTTTGATAGGCAAAAATATAAACAAGCACCTCAGCCTGGTGTTTTTTCCCTTCCCTATGCTATACTCAAGAGAGTGCTCACCAGCAGATTATTTTAACTCTTCAATAAAGTGTTGCTCAGTGATAGTTTGGCTCAACTGGGAACAGTGCACGATGCAATAACTCTTTACTGATTGCATAAGTATTCAGGGACTATGCAAGAACAGCAAGAGAAGCTGAGCACAAGGCTGCTAATTTTGCTCAGTCAAAGATGTCTGGTGAGAAGAATGCCTTTTCAGATGAACTAAATTTAATTTGCAGACCTCTAAAAACTCTGATGAATGTAAACGCTTGCTTTCTGTCTAGTAAGGAGCAAGCATCTCCAAAATGATGCAATTGCTGTACATAAGTGAAAGTGTGCCAGTTCAAAGAGTTATTTTGCAACCAGTTCACCTGAAAATCAGTGTACCTTTGAAGTTTCTACCAATTTGCCCTTGGCAGCCCTTCAAAGAAGGAGCTAAGATGAGGTTAGGGCAAAAGAAAAAAAAAGAATAATTTATTAGCGTAGCAGTTACCATACAGGTTCTTGCTGGTGGTTTCCAAAATATCCATGCTTACTTTGAAATGCTACAGTGTTTTTGGACCCATCAAGTTTAGTTTTGTTAGCCTTACAAATTAACAGTAGCATTCCAGTTATTTCTAGTAGTGTGCTATGTGTCTGTCATTTGTTTAGGCAACAGTTCATGTAAATGGCTTGCTTCTTATTAATAAATGAGTCAAATAGCACTTAAACAACTTGGTGGAGAAGAGTTCTGTGAAAGCTAAGTTATCTGCTTCTAGGTTAGGAGTACCTCAGAAATTGTAAATAAAGAGCCATTTCATGAGTCCACCAAAGAATTATACTATTTTGCAATAAAAGAAAAACAGCTTGCTTACCTGTAACTGATGTCCTTCGAGTGGCCAGCCATGCATTCACACATATGGGTGCTGCGCCTGCGCAGTGCGGTACCGAGGGAACAGACGAACCCGAACCACGATGTTTGGTGTGGTCAGGTTTCTTCGCCTTGTGGGCCGGCTTGTCTGCCTTGTCCTTTCTTGCCTTCTTGTGGCTGGAGGACTTGTCAGAGCCACCATGCTTTCTCTTCTCCCTTTGTTTAGCAGGAGGAGAAGGAAGTTGTTGAGCCCCCATCGCTGAAGTACCTTCGTCCGAAGGGCGCGGCCAAAACAGAGGCAGAGCGCTGTGGAGGCGCAGCCGAGGCAGAGCCAGGCTTTGAGACCCACTGGTCTGACTGCATAAGGGCCTGGTCCCAGAGCAGTTTACAGAGTCGGTTTTCCCAGTTCTTCCTGGCCTGCCTAGTAAAGGCCAAGCAGTGGCCACACTTGTCCGTTCTGTGCCCCTCACCTAGGCAGAGGAGACACAGATTGTGTGGGTCTGCAGGAGACATTTTAGACCTGCACTCAGTGCATTTATGAAAGGCCGCTCACTGCGCCATCGGAAAGAGGAAAAAAGAAGATGGTGAAGAGGGAAAGATAATATTTTTGGATTTTTTATTTTTTATTTTTTTAGAGAAAGAACGAGAGAGAGAATATCGAACAGGCGAGAAAGAACTTGGAATTATAGTAGAACAGTTAACAAGTTTAACAAAAACAAAGATCGATATACGAGAGCAAAAAGGCATGAGGCACAGCGAACGGTGGTCGCAAAAGACTGAGAAAATGGCGGACACTCCGCTCTATTTATACTATGGAGGGGGAGGGGAACGGAGTTTCCCGCCAAAAACCATTAGCTTTCTAATCTTTCTGGCCTTAGGCACTGTACAGGTGCAGCACCCATATGTGTGATGCACAGAGGCCACGACGAAGAAGTACCCTTTGGATTTGGGGAGAAGACACACAGGAGCTTTGCCAACATTTTTCTGATCCAGTCCCGTGAAATTGTGCTTTCTTTCCCAAGAGCTTTTCCTTTGCAGTCCCTAGTGTTTGTAGCTCTTTCTTAGTTGTTACATCACTCACCTAATATTGCCCTTTGACTCTGAGCATAAAATTATAACAGGAGTAAAGATAACAGTGTTCTGTGCACTTTGGTGTTTAGCCATGCCGGCCACATGACCACGGAGACTGTCTGCAGACAAACGCTGGCTCCCTCGGCTAGGAAACGGAGATGAGCACCGCCCCCTAGAGTCAGGCAGGACTGGACTTAATGTCAAGGGGAAACCTTTACCTTTAAAGATCACAATGCTGTCCACTTAAGCATTTTAAATAACTGTAATAATGTAATTTATTATTTTCAGGCTTCCATAGTTTTCATTGTTTCTACAACAAAATAAATTATCAAAAGAGACATTTTAACTGTTTCAAACTTTCAGTTCTTGCAGAGGAAACATGGGCAGCCATTGTTTTCTGTATTACTGTCTTCAAATAAATTTTGATCTTGAAAAGTGAATGAATATTATGAAACCTCACATTTCAGTAATAAAGCCTTTGTCAAGAGTTCTGCTGTCATAAGAGAATTCTTTCATATGTATATACAGTGGCATAACAAGTCTGAATTTTAAAAAAATGAACTTAATTTTCAGGTTGCTCTAATACTTGATTGCTTTGCATCGTATGAAAGTTCTGTGTTTGAACAATTACCTTGTGCTCTTCTGCAGTGTAAAGAAATGTAAAAACTACTATGAAGTCCTTGGAGTATCCAAAGATGCAGGTGAAGAAGACTTGAAGAAAGCTTACCGAAAGCTTGCTCTGAAGTTTCATCCAGACAAAAACCATGCACCAGGAGCAACAGATGCTTTCAAAAGTAATACTTCATAAGTCAGTGCAGAAGAGAAAATGCCCTAGGGTAGCAATAGTACATCTCTGCCATACAAGTGTTTGCGTTAATAACTTGTATCTGTTTGGGTTCAAATCTGTGCTTTTACAGTCTGATGGTGACTGTGAACAATTGTTCTATATGTGAAAAAGTAACTAAGTCCAGCTATGTTCTTCCACTGTGCAAACAGAAGCAGAGAAACAGCTGCAGAACCTTTCTATTCTAGTATTTAAACAATATATTTCTGGCGGCTATTTTCCCTCCACTTGAAATTATTTGATTTGAGCCCAGTATATTTGGATTATTGCACATGAGGCTTGTAAAAACAACCATAAACATCTGAAAGAAACTGTACATGTAGCTATCAACATGCTCTAAGCAGTTTGTTGTATATTTGTGTCAATGTTTCCTACACCAGGTAGAAATTTGGCTGAAATTCCATTGTAGATGCACATGCCCAGGAATCTACAAATTGGATCAGAGCTTGGTAGCAAAACATTATTTCTAGTAGCCAGCAATAAATACATTAAACATGCATATGAGCACATACAGTGCCTTTCCATCAACTAGGTTCAGACTGCCACAGAAGTATTAACATTAGAGAAGAAATTTAAGAAGTATTAACATTACAGAAGACATTTATTTGATTTCTATCCTGCCTTTAAGAACTCAAAGCAGCTAACATCATTCTCTTCCTGTTGCTTTCAGTCTTCTCCCCACAACAACAGCCCTGTGAGATAGGTTGGCCTGAGAGTCTGTGACTGTTGGCTCCATGACTGAGCAGGGACTAGAACCTAGATCTGCCTAAGTCTGAGTTCTGCACTCTTAACCAGTATACCACACTAGTTCTCCCTATAAACCCAAGTCTTCCTTTAAAATGTAAACTTTTCCCACCACTTCTTTTGCAAGCCCCAGTACAATAAGCATATATTTTCAAAATTTTGGCTCTGGGCATAATCCACTTCAAGAGCTGTTGCTGTTTCTGGCTTCATCCACTGCAGCTGTTCCCCTTTATGAATCCATTTTTGTTTGTTTTCTAATTCACCTCAGAGTAAAAGTAAACTTTTTCTACGAAGCCACTTTACAAAGTAGATCTTTACAGTTGGAAGGAAGCTGCACAGGAACTTGACTAGGAAGTATTTGGAAGAAATACCTTCTACATGTGAGAGGGCTGGGTTCTCAGAGGTTTTTAAGCTGCTTCTACAAGGTTCCAAGAACATGGGTAGTTCTGGGATGGGGGAATAAAAAAGGCCATATGAGGGAAGCAGCTTTGCACATAGAGACTAAAATGGTGCAGCCACATCTCACAGTGGAATTACTGGGAAGGAAAGAAACGCTTGCTGTTGCCATTCAGGGCTAGGGAATGCCTTTCCTAAATGTGTACTGCAGATTTTCTCTGATGAATTGTAAGCTCCCTTTCTGGTTGCCAGCTTGAAAGACTTTCCCACCCTGGTACACTGATGAGTTCCCTGAGAACTTTAGCCTTGTGACTCTGCATGCTTTTTCCAAAGTACCATTCATTATATGATAGGATGGTCTACAATTACAATATTTTTTACACAATCAGCAGGGAATGGCCAAGCCAAGATACACCAGTTAGACCAGAACACCACAAACTCATATGTTACTGAATATCCACTGTGTTGTGATACACTGTTTGACTCCGTTACCATAATGTCTAATTTGTTCCCAGATGTTGTCAAAGAATCCATCTGGATACGAGTGAATGAATGAATGAATGAATGAATGAATGAATGAATGAATGGAAAGAAATAGAGAAAAACAAATTACTTCTTTTAAATGTTATATGCCGTAACCCACTCACACTATTTTTGATGCCATTCCTGCACCAGTCTGTGCAGGGTGTGGAAAAGTGTAGTGCAGGCCTTGCAGTCTGGATGTATCTGTGTCATGTGAGTTACTGCAAATGCAGCATATAATTGATATCACACTTGCTCCTTTTATATGTGCCTATGATTATTTTTTTCCTCTTTCCCCCTTCTGCTTTTCAGAGATTGGCAATGCATATGCTGTGCTAAGCAATGCAGAAAAACGAAAGCAGTATGATCTTACAGGCAGTGAAGAACCATGTAATCATCCTGGCAATGGTAGATTTAACTTCCACAGGGGCTGTGAAGCAGATATTACTCCAGAGGACCTCTTTAACATGTTTTTTGGAGGGGCATTTCCAACAGGTACTGACTCACTGAAACAAGATTTTTTATCACCTAGCCTCAACTCAGTACTACCATCTAATATACTTTATATCAGCCTTCCCTACCTAGGTACTCAAGATGTTCTGGACTACCTTTCACATAACTTCCAGCCAACATGGCCAGTGGTCAGGGTGCTGGGAGTTGTAGTCCATAAGATGTGGAGGTACTAGGTTAGGAAAGGCTCTATCACTACCTTTCATTTTCCAATCTGAAATCTCTTCTGGGTCCCTATCCTAAAGGAGCATGCACTTATATTTTGTATAGCACCCAGCACCAGAGAAACAGTATAAGTAGTAATTGCTTGCCACCATAATGCTGAGACTCCCAAAGGGTAAGAACAGACCCCCATGTACTATTTAATGGTGTCTGATGCACCAACTGGAACTTAAATCACCTTTCCCCAGTGTAAGGAACAGATTTGTGAAACCTGAAAGCTTATGTTATCCATCAGCAACCTGTGGTCCAGTAAAACATGCTTTCTGATCCACTGCCTGTCCTTTGGCAAAAAGGGGAAGAGTTACGTGCTGTTCTCGAAAGGGGAAGGTGTTGGATGTATGGCACAGCACTGCCTATGATGCTTCCTCAGTTGAGTACAACTGAGCCCTTCTCTTCTTTTATCTTGTGTTTTACTCTAGCCCTTAATATAGTCTTCTGGATATTTCCTCTTCATACAGGTAGTGTACATTCCTTTTCTAACGGACGGTCTGGCTACAGTCACCATAATCAGCATCGTCATAGTGGACATGAAAGAGAAGAGGAGAGGGGTGATGTATGTTTGCCCTCAGCAGAGTTTTGTTCAGCCTTACCTTTTCTGAAACATTTTTCTTAGAGTTACATGTTTTGCAGTTGCGTGTCCCAGTCAGTGCCTGAATAGAAAAATAGATATAAAGAAACAATAAATGTTAAAATCCTAATGCTGTTCATCATTTATACTCTTAATGGTGAAATTCTATGCATATTCATGTTTAGTCAACTGAGGCTTATTTACAGATAAGTATGCTTAGTGTTTAAGGTAGCCAGATGCAAAAAAGGGCTTGGCTTCAAGCACCTTTAATAATTGTGTAATTGGGGCACATGTAATTTGCTTGCTGAAATTTCGCCTTCTATGGAGTCCTACCCTCTTCTGCACCTGGCCACTCTAATGGTATTGCAGTCTGAAGTAAGATATGGGCCACTACTGTGAACTTAGCTTGCACTTAGCTACATGTCTAGCAGCGATAGGACTGTAATCCTTACCACTGTAAGGATGATTGTTGTAAAGTTGAAGAGGTCACAGCTGCTTCCGTGGTTTCAAAGTAATGGTAACCCATGGGGGTTTTTTAAACCATGCTTTTTTGTCCTACCAAGGGTTTGACTTGGTTTACCTGACACACTGGTGTTTATCATTGGTTATTTAAGCCATGGTAAGCCACAGCACATGCCAGGTGCAATTCAAGTATGCAGCTTACCACTTGGGGCTTGTTGTGTCATACAGGCCTGACCATTGGGGGTTATCTGAGGATTGTTTAACCCTCACATGCCCCACAGTGATGAAGTTTGAATGTTGCAATAACGCTTTAATTGGGGTTCTGTTTTTCAAAATGGTGGCCATGCAAGCTGTGCCCTCTGTCTATTAGACAATCAAATAAATGCTAGTTTATTTTCTGAATCCTTGCATTGTTTTTTCCCTCTTTCTTCACCTGCTCCCTCCCTATATCCCAACTGCCTTTGCATCACTGGTATGTAAAGAGGCTTTTTTTTTAAAGAAGCTCTTATTTGCTGCCCTGTAGCCTAACAACACAATCCATGAACAACCCACAATTCCGTGTTCACATGTAATAATAATCCATAGTGTAAGCAATAGATAGATTTCTTCAAGGATTGTTCATGGTTAACAGCCCATAGTTAACTCATATCTCTGGGTTTGTTTGTAATGACAACCACAATTCAAGCAAACCATGATTAATTAAACTGTGGCTTTTTGTTACTTAGTAATAGATGCTATCATGTTGAAAAACTTGTTGGCTAAATTTCAGTAAAAAATGTTCTGATTTTGAGATCTCTTCCTATCATATCAAAGAAAGTACTTGTTTTGGCTGAATGAAAACAAAACTGAGGAAGACATCTTAGTAGGACTTCAAGTAATTAAATAGCTATCAAAACACCTTGAAGTGACTAACTGTTCATTGCATCCACTGAGGATCAAACACAAAGCAATCTGTTCAAATGGTAAAATGGTAACTAAGTAGATGAAAGTTACTCTTCCAATATTTTTAAAAAGCTCATCAATAAAACAAACTTGGGTAAGTTGCATAGTCTCTTTCAGAAGCTTCTAAAAAATGTCAGGCAGTAGTGTGCTAGAGGTGATTTTGGTACAACTGCTTTTTACCTAAAGGCATGGGTAGACTAAGTGTAGCTTCAAAGAATCCAGTACTCCATGATTTTACTTTCTAATTGCTGCTTTAATTCCCAGGGTGGCTTCTCTATGTTTATTCAGCTGATGCCAATTATTGTACTGATCCTCGTCTCTTTGCTGAGCCAGTTGATGGTGTCTAATCCTCCTTACTCTTTATATCCAAGACAGTAAGTAGCAATATATGTATAATGAACATGGTCATTTTAAAATAACTTTGATTTTGTACACAGTTTTTCTTTCTTGTATGTATTAGGTCTGAAATAATGACTGGATTTGCATGGCACAACAGCTAACCAGCAATAACAGTCCTTTATAACCATTATTGTGTTCTGCAAAACCAGCATGACTTACCCACCATGGGTAGGGGGTTAAAAATCAAACAAAAACCAAAACAAAACCTACTCATGATGAGAACCCATGGGCTGTTGTAGGGTTTGTTTCGTCTGCCATGGAGTATCATCTTGTCAGAACCTGGAATATTGATCCCACCATGGGTTAAGACCCATGACCAGCAACTCATTTGGCAAGAGCAGCAAAAAAAACCCTTGCTCCTCTTCCCAAGATAGTCTTAGCCACTGCTTTTGCCCATGATGTGGAACTATTGGTGGCTTGCTACAGTTTATTTATCCTTTAATGTTTTTTTTTTTTTTTTTTTTTTTTTTTTGTGGGGGTGGGGAGATGAGATCAGCCAACTTGAGAGCAAACTTTCCCAAACCCTGTTTGGGCAGGCACAGGGAACCTCTTCAAGGTCCCACAGGGGCACTTTGACTTCCTAGTTTTGAGGGGGCTGGTATGTTCCAGTACAAATCCACCCAATTACAAAAACACCCCCATTGTAAAGGAACCCCAAGTCTTGATGGCTGTCAGTGAACTGTCAACTGTGTTTCTGCTTCAGAAGGCTGAGATGTACTTTCAGGATTGGGGAAGGTGCAAAAGTAGCACTTCAATGGGCACTACAGCAGAGGAACTTGAAAAGTTGAGGATCTTGCTGAGAATAGGCAAATCTCCCCAAACACCACTCTCTCAGCTGAAGCTCCCTCACACCTTGAATTTCTCTTGACTGATCAGTTTCTCTAACCTATCAAGAGAAATCTGGTAGTAGTAGGAGGTTTACAAGCCTTTACTGGACACTGCAGGGAGAATATCTACTGGGGCAGCAGGACACTCCCTCCCCACCCCACCCACTAACAAGGCTTTACACACACAAAGCAACAAAATGCTACAACAAGCCAGAATTGGATCAGAATCATGGTGGGGAGGGAGGGGGAATTTATTACTCCTATAGTGCCCTGTGGGATACTTCCTAGGGCAGGAATGGCGAACCTTTTAGAGACTGAGTGCCCAAACTAACCCAAAACCCACTTATTTATCTCAAAGTGTCAACACTACAATAAAATCTGAAAACTGAGGTTTTAATTCAAAAACTCACAGCCAGTCCAAGCAAATATATATATATATTCTTGGCAGCGCACTGACCAGCCATGCGAAAGCCTGGACGAGTCATGGCTACTGAGTCACGGCACGGGATATCATCGCCTGGCGCCTCCACTTCTTTCTGAGTATGTGCATGCCCCCTTTGTGCGCTGTTATTCGATGCTTGGTGCTGGGGCTGGCTTGCTCTAGTGCACACCCCTAACCCTAATATAGGGGTAAAATACCATTGAAAGGGCCAATTTTGAAAAAGCCTTCCTTGAGTAGCTTTTTCTGCACTGCTCATCCTTTCTGCCCATTCTAAACACATTCCAACCATCAAAATCATGCCAGGACACCTCGTTTTTCTAACCCTAACCCAGTGATGGTGAATCTTTTAGAGACTGAGTGTCCCAACAGCAACCCAAAACCCACTTATTTATTGCAAAGTGCTAACACTGCAATAAAACCTGAAAACAGCCAGTCCAAGCAAATATATATATATCCTTGGCAGCACCCTGATTCAAAAGCTTGGACATGTCGCGGCTAATGTGTCACGGCTTGTGACATCATCACCTGGCACCACTGCTCCTTTCCGAGCATGTGCATGGCCCCTATGTGCACTGTTATCCGATGCTCGGCTGCTGGGGCGATGCTGGGGCGACTTGGCTCACGTGCCGACAGAGAGGGCTCTGTGTGCCCGCTGTGGCACGCGTGGCATAGTTTCACCATCACTGTCCTAGGGGAAGGAGGGAGCACAGGACCCTAGATGAGCCCAATCATCTCCTAGACTCATCATGGGTACTTTGTGACACAACAAATCCTTCAAGGGCAAAAGACTACAGTAGGTTGGTGTGAATTCACCCCAAATTAACTGACCCACCAGTGTTTGTAAACCATCCAGGTTTGTTAACAGGAAAGAATTCAAACAATAAAAGGTGATTCAAAGTTTGATTTTTGGAAATGGAAATCTGGTTGTGATAGTGCAGAAACTTTTTTTAAAGCTTCTTATCTCGATCATTTCAAGGAAGTGGCTTTCCTTCCCATAGTTACTTGTATAAAAGCACACTTCTATGCATGTTTAGACTGAACAAGGTTAGTCAGTTAACTCTGGTTCAGGGTGGAGGGGAATCCGCTTCCCAGATCAAAGCATGCTTCACACCCCTGCTTAGATATACAACAAGGAGCTCCAGGTTCATATCTCCATCCAGCCACAACATTCACTGGACTAAATCAAACTCTCCCAGTCTAGCTTGTCTAACAAGCTTGTTAACAGAATAAAAGCAGGATTCCTTACTCTGCCCTATGTTCCTTTGAGAAAAGGGTATATGTAATACGTATGCAGGAGCGTAGGTGGAGGAAATCACGGGATGAATCTGACCGAACACACTTAAGAGCCCATTATTGGGCCTATGCTGTGGCGGTGAGGGCGGCGAAAAAGAAATTCTTCTCCATCTCCATTGCCTCCTCAAAATGCCGTCCGGCGGAGCTTTTTCGAGTGGTGCATGGCCTGGTTTATCCTGGCCCCAAGAAAGATCTGGTTTCACCCTCGAAGGCCCGCTGTGACAACTTTGCCAAGCATTTCAGGGAGAAAATCGCTCAGATTCGTCACGAGCTGGACTCTACTAGTGACTCAGAGGTTTCTGGGGAGATACCAGTCCCGCCGCCTGGTCCAAAATTAATGGATGAATTTCAATTATTGCGGCCTGATGATGTGGACAAGGTGCTTGGACGAGTACGTCCCACCACTTGCCTATTGGACCCTTGCCTGTCTTGGTTAATAAATAACGCCAAGCACGGGATTGGGATCTGGATCTTGGAAGTGGTTAACGCTTCTCTGAGGGAGGGTCGGGTACCTGCCTCTTTAAAGGAGGTGGTAGTCCGACCGGTCCTGAAGAAAGTGTCACTGGATCCAGAGATGGCCACTAATTATAGACCAGTGGCCAACATCCCGTTTTTGGACAAGGTGTTGGAGCGGGTGGTGGCGGGACAACTCCAAGCACTCTTGGATGAAACTGATTTATCTGGACCCATTTCAGTCCGGCTTCAGACCCAGGTACGGTACTGAATCTGCCTTGGTTGCCCTGTATGATGACCTGTGCAGGGAGAAGGACAGGGGGAGTGCATCCCTGTTGGTTCTTCTGGACCTCTCAGCGGCTTTCGATACCATCGACCATGGTATCCTTCTGGATAGGCTAGCAGGAGTGGGGGTCGGAGGCACTGCTCTGCAGTGGTTCCGCTCTTATCTCAATGACCATTTCCAGAAGGTGGTGCTGGGGGACTATGGCTCTGCGCCATGGCAGCTATGCCATGGAGTACTGCAGGGGTCCATTTTGTCCCCTTTGCTGTTTAACATCTACATGAAACCTCTGGGAGAGGTCATCAGGAGGTGTGGGCTGCGGAATCATCAGTATGCTGATGATACCCAGCTCTACCTCTCATTTTCCACCAATCCAGGTGAGGCAGTGGCTGTGCTGAACCGGTGCCTGGCCAAGGTAATGGGCTGGATGAGGGCCAATAAACTGAAGCTCAATCCAGACAAGACGGAGGTCCTGTTGGTAGGCAGATCGAGCTTTGGTGAGGGTGAACTGAACCTAGTCCTGAATGGGGTTGCACTCCCTCTTAGGGACAAGGTCCGCAGCTTGGGAGTGCTCCTCGACCCAGAGCTTTCACTGGAAGCTCAGGTGACAGCGGTGGCGAGGAGCGCTTTCTTTCAGCTTCAGCTGATCCATCAGCTGCGCCCCTACCTGGAGTACGACTGCCTGGCGACAGTGACACACGTGTTGGTGACTTCCCGCCTTGACTTCTGCAACGTGCTCTACGTGGGGCTACCCTTGAAGACGGTCCGGATACTTCAATTGGTTCAGAATAGAGCTGCCAGGCTGTTGACGGGGACTGGGCATTATGCTCACATGACTCCAGGCCTCCGTCAGCTTCACTGGCTTCCCATTGAAGTCCGGGCCCGATTCAAGGTGTTGGTGATCACTTATAAAGCCCTAAACGGCTTGGGTCCTGGCCACCTGAAGGAGCGCTTACGTCCATATATGCCCACCCGCCCCGAGATCAGCGGGAGAGGCCCTTCTCCGGGAACCCTCCGTGAAAGAAATTAGGAGGATAGGTACTCGGAGGAGGGCTTTCTCTGCGGTGGCGCCCAATCTATGGAATGTGCTCCCCAGAGAGGTCCGCCTGGCACCGTTATTTGTTTTTCGGTGCCAGGCGAAGACCTTTTTATTCAAGCGTCATTTTAATTGTTAACGTTATTTTTAAAGTTTTTTGGCCAGGGTGACTTATTTTATACACTTATGTGTATTTTATATAGTTATTTATGTATTTTAATTTATTTATTTGTAAGCCGCCCCGAGGCTTTGGCGAATGGGGCAGCCTAGAAATTTTATAAATAAATAAATAAATAAATAAATAAATAAATAAATGTTTAATGAAAAAGATCCTTTGCAATATGCCAGTGCTCTCTTCACCAAGGTGAACTGACCCTGCAGGGTGTGCATGGTTTTGTTGTTGTTAAGAATAGATAAATTTTTAAATGAAATTTTAATTATTTAAAATTCTCTTTTGGTCATTGTTAAAACTAAAACTGTTTTAACTAATGTTCAAAGAAAATGAGATTTGGAAAAAGAGAGCAAAACATTATTTACAGAATCCAAAGCATTAAAGAGGATGTTACAGCTATATACTATCTGTTAACCAGAGCTGTTCTCAGTACATTTTATTTACAAAATTTACTTTGTAGTAAATTTGTAATCCTTAATACTCTTTCGTTTATTTTTAAGTAATGGTAAAGTATGGGATATTGACACAGAATGACAATATGGGATTTCTTTGCAGGGCGTCAGGGCAAACCATTCAGATGCAGACAGCAAACTTGGGTGTCGCTTACTACGTCAACAAGGACTTTAAAAATGAATACAAAGGTGCAAATTTGCAGAAAGTAGAAAAGAGTGTGGAAGAGGACTATGTGTCAAACATTCGAAATAACTGTTGGAAAGAAAGACAACAAAGTAAGTTGAACTCATGTTTAATATTGTTCAGATTTAGCTATGTAATGCTAAAACATTGCATTATTCCAGCTAGAAGGAAATATTCTGGACTGGATCCTAACAAGAAAATTCATGGAAGGAAAGTTTTCTGTATCCTACCCAGCAGCAGTTACTTTGCACCTTAAAAAAAACCTCTCTGTAGGATTGGGGGTGGCACTGGAGGAGGCAAGAGTTGCATGGAGATTTGCTCTTTGGAGGCCATTACAACTTACCCATCATTCCCACATTCCACTGTTTTTACCAATAATTTTTTATGTGCTGAGAGGTGGCATATCAAAAAATAATGTGATCCACAAACTCCCTAGTTCACATTTACCTTTGGCCGTGGTCATTGTTGGTGGCTTTTGGAGAGCTGTTTTTCCCCTGGTTCTACTCTGATTTTCTCTTCCCTCTTTTCTTTACTGACCTCCATATAGGCATACCTAGGCAATGTTGACAAACTACCTTGGATCCTTGGAATAGTTTAGAAATACTACTAATTGGGAAAAGAGCAGTGAAATTTTGACTTGAAGTGAGTGCTCCCCTCTGCAAGGGTGGGAAACTTCTTTGAATGGTTCAGCCCTACAGGCTATTGGCCTCTGATGGATTCTAGAGTGTTTGAGGGGTTTTGCAACTGGTGCGTTTCTTGAATCTGTGGTTGCTCAGTTGAATGCAGATGCAGCTGGTTGATATCCTCCCAGCCAACTTTTCCAGTTGAGCAGAACCAGTTTGATACCTTGGTGTATAACTAAGGGGAAGCAATGAAGCAGGTGGGAATATAACTAGAATGCAAGTGCAGGAAATGCCTTGACAAATCATTAAAATAAGAGCTAATTATCAATCCTACTCTGTAGCAGGGATAGCAGCAAGGAAACAGTTTTTCTCTTCCACTGTTGTATCTTCACAGTGTCATCTGACAGAATTCTCCCAAGTGGCACAAGGTCTCCATTTTAGATAATGGGAGATTCAGTGGAATCCTCTGTAACAATTTGTTTACAAGTTCACAAGACATTATAAGGACAAGAGTGCTTTCGTGTGCCATGATTTCAATTCCAGTTTTTAGCATATGGACAAGATATTTGGTAAAGTCCAACCAAATACTTGTAAGCTTGACCCTTGTCCATCTAGGCTTATTGCACCTAACAGGAAAGGATTACTAGGAGATAGTAAATTCCTTGCTAATAGAGGACATCCCCAGTCCCCTTAAAGGAGGTTGCACTGTAACCGCATCTCGTCAAAACCTCTTTGGACCCAGAAGATTTCAACACTTTAGAGCCAGAGCTCAACATCACCTTCCTGAGCCAGGTGGCTGAGCATGTGGTTGGTTAGGTGTACTCTGGGCACTGCTTGAGGAAACGCGTTTAGTAGTTTGATTCCAGTGAGGTTCTAGGTCTTGGTTTGGCACTGAAACTGGCTTTTATGCTGTCAGATAGTTTTTGCCATGAGAGGGACAAAGGAGGATCTTCTCACCATTGGTCATGGTATCCTTCTGGAGAAGCTGCTTGAATTCTCTGTGACCAGCTGTGTGCTCTTCAGTGGTTCCACTCATACAAGGACAGTGATCTCTAAATTAGAAAGAATTAGATGGCATTTTTAACAGTTGTTATTCTTACTTTTTGACACTTGATTCTTGTTTTTAAAGAAACAGATTTACTGTATGCAGCAAAAGTGTATCGGGATGACCGTCTTCGAAGGAAAGCAGAAACCATATCCATGGACAACTGCAAAGAACTAGAACGATTGACCAGTATCTATCGAGGAGGATGAGCTAGATTTTGACTTTTACTGCCTGAAGTACATGCTCTATATGTATAAAAAGAAAAAATCTGTAAACTGAGAAAATACTATTTCGTTGTGAGAACTAAAAAGAAAGAGGGATGTAAAATTCTGTGTAGCCATTCCCAGAAACCTTACCCTAAAGTTCCAATATCATTTAATAGCCTATTTATTTAGTCTGAAATATATGACAAGGTTTGTTTACATCACTGAATTGCCCTTTGCATTTTATTCCCAAAGCTCTGAGAAATTTTATACAAGGAAGAAGCTGCTCAGGTGTGCTAGCTGTATTTGTAGAGATGTAGACTAATGGTTCTGCTTCAGAAATACTTGCCATGTAAATATGTGTGGGAAATGAACACTGTTGTGTATATTAAACTCTTAAGGATTTCTAAAGATATTTAGATACATTGTGGGGAATTCTGTGGCTTCCCAACATTATCTTGGGGTTGGGGAACAGGATTATTAGGAATCCCTGCTTCAAGGTCCTTTACATGCAGAGCCCCCTGTCCCCAAACAGTATAGAAAGAACCACAGCAACTGCCCCTCTGAGGTCAGAAATCTGCCTTGGAGAAGGCTAAAGGGGTGACAGCTTAGACCAAGTCCAAATGGCTCCCCAGCCTCCTTCCTTCCTTATGCATTTAATTCAGACAGCCAAAAAAGGCCATCTAGATTAAATGCATTGTGCAGGCTGTTGTAGATCTCTGCCACACCTTGCACTGTGCGTTGGATGCACTTATGTGTCCATGTTTGGAAGCTTACATGCATTGAACATGGAAGACAGTGAATTGTGCCCTAAAATTTTTAATTTCATGTATGGAATAAATATTACTCATGACTATATCATTCCTTATTCACATGTCAAGTGTGTGTGGGACTGAAAGGAAAAGTAACCATCTTATCTCTTTGTGCACAATCATCTAGCTTGAAGAAACTTGGTATTATTGTTTTTTAAGTTATTGGCCATGTTAATTTATGATGAAATTACTTGGATAAAGCAGTCTGATTCCAGAGTAGCAACCTTCATTTTGTAGTTTTACTACTCAATATCTAAACTGTGACAGAAGTAAGATCCGTGCAAAACTGTTTCTTGCTAAGTGAAAAATAGGATTTAAAAAAGAGAAATGTACAGATACACAGTTTATTACTTGGATTGCTTAATAGCTTTTGCTGTTTTGGTATTTCTAAAGAAAAAAGGGTGTAAATAAGCAATAGCTGCTGTACAACTTCCTTCTCCATTTTTTTAAAGTTTTGTTCAGCATGGCTTGGGGTAACACATGCTCACACATGCACGTGCACACACATGGAAGGTGTGGAATTTGTTACATTGTGTCCTGAATCAACATGCATGCTTAATAGAAATTTACAGTTGCTGACAGAGATATGGAGTAATATTTAAATTTTTGGAAAGCCTGGCAGTTTGTTAATTTACAATTATTCAAGTGTGGGCATCGAAAGCTAATCAAGAAAGTTGCTCCTAAAGTCTGTCCTTGTGCCTTTGCACCCTTTTACTGACTCTTAAGTTTAACTTGCCTGTGAATTCCTGCTATCAGCCATAATTTGGAACTGTGTAGTTTTGCCCTGCAATGTGAGCTAAGCAGTCACAGAGCAGTGTTTCACTCCAGATCTTGACAGGCTCTTTTTGGTAAAGAGGAGCTTTTGAATATCATTGATGAAATAGAAATGATTTGATTCTAAGGGATCATATATGAATAATGCATATAGTCACTTTTGGTAAAATAAATTTAATATGCAGTTTTGAAGAAACTGAACAATAGATGGTGCCTGGGAAGTACTTGTTCAGACTTTATCAAATGTTTATAAGCTGTTGCACATTTTTTTACTGCAACAAAAAGTTTCTTTTTTGATATCTCATATACTCTATTAGAAGATACTTATAGATGAACATGCATAATGCCACTCTTAACTGAGATACTGTCCCTCTGTTGTTCATTGGAGGACAATTATTGAAGAAACTCACTGTGGTCTGATGTGTACAGAATTCCATTCTTAAGTGATTCTTCAATCCATTGGCCTTAATTCAGAGGACAAGATGAACACAGAGTTTCGATGGCTGATACCAGAACAAAGCCTATGTACGGTTCCTGCATGCACATGAGGGACTTTCCATAGCTGCTGTTCTAGAATGTAAAATGTCTGTAGGTAAGAAAAAATCCTAGAACTTAATTGGCTTCTGAGTTGCACAAGTGGCATGGCATGAGTTGTGGGGAGGATGATTCCTAGGTCTTCATAGTCTGTTCGAAGTCAAAATCAAAGATGAGCATCAAAGTACATATGAAGGTTGAACATAGCATTCCCTTTTCTCTCTCCTTCTGAAAGAGGTGCCATGCAGCAGTATCTGAGCATCTATACCCACAAGATTTCATCAGGCTATTTTAGTTATATTAAAGTAATAACCAACTCAGGTGCCCTACATTCCACATTGTCTGACAGGTACATGTGAACCCCATGAGTTTTATTTTGAAGATCATCCAGTCCCTGTAGACAGTGGGAATATTAGGCATTTTATAGATATGTTCTGCATTTGTGTGGAGCTGACCAGACACTGTAGTCTTCACTTTAGCACTCCAAGGGAAAGAAGTTTTGAAAACCTATGGTTTAACCAATATGAACCGAATGGAGGTTTTATAAAAAGGCCTTTTTTGGGCAATATGAATATTGAAATTGAGTTCAAGTAGAAGCTCATTTTAAATGTGAAGCAGATAACACTGCTATCATAAAACCACATGCTTGTATCCAAAGATGCTCTTGCACTTCTAAGGCTCTTTTGTTCATACAAGGTGTTTCCCCTTTCCTGCTGCAGTTCCCAAAGCAACAGCTCACACTTTCTGAGATGGTCCTCCAACCATCTGCAGTGGCCTGGGGGAAAGAATACTGTACTGGATGGGAGCAGTGATTCCTGGTGTGTAAATGGAATCTACCTGTCTAAGCCATAATGTTGAAGAAAGATCCATTTATGATAGAGGTGCATGTTCTTTATGTTCAGAAGTTTGTATATGAACTTATGGGGGCTAGTTATCCCTATAAAAACTGAATCAATGTGCAGGCAAGATTGTAAATGTTCAAACCAATGAAATATAAATCTTTAATTTTGCAATATTAGTTCAATTGGGTTATTCCTCTGTATGAGCAAGAGCCTAGTGTGCAAAATACTCTATTCTTGTAATGAGAGTGTAGAAGATGGTATGTGTCACACCATAAAGTCCTCCCTGAGATATTTTTCTAGAGTTGGGATACAGTTTTTCCTTTTGATTTACATGTAATTTTTCCCTGAAACTTTTACAGAACAGCTGGGGGGAAGAGACACTTTGCTTTGTGACCTGCAAGTGAAAGCACATTCTTAAATAATATTAATGGAAAACATGAGCAATCTTCATAACATACACTTCTCAAAGTTTTAATCACAAATTTGCAATGATATAGATAATAACTCCTCTTCATGATTAAAATGTGCCACTTGTAATGCCCTTTCACACTTTAGATTCTCAGGCCTCCAGTTGAATCCCCTGATATGTTTAGATTTATTTGAAAATGGCTCTAAAGGAGGGGGCTCTGAATTTGAGTGCAGCAGAATTGCTAGGGAGGGGGGTATTAAATGTTTTTTCCCCCAAATGCCATTCTTTCTAGTCCAAACCTATTAGAAGATACACATTCAGTTTTAGGGAGAATGGAGTTAGCATGGAAAACAGCATGGAGGAAATGGTTTTAAAAAACACTCCTCCAGCAATGCTGCCCCAGTCAGAGACAGCTGCTTTTAAGTAAAAACAAAACATGGCGAAGCCGTTGGATCTCTTCCATAACATGCAGTTCAGCCCCTTATGCCTGTTGCTTACTGTATAAGCAAAGCAGTATTTATCCCTTTGAGTTCAATGGAACCCCACACAAGATTGCTCTGGCTTAAATGGCCTGTGTATTTAGTTATGGTTTCCTTAATGCTACTTAAAATGGCCCTGACATAACAGAACCCCATAGCGAGATGTGTTTCTTATGACTGGTCATTTGAACACAGTACAACTAATCCCACTATTCATTCCTTTTTCCAACAGGCAAGCCCAGTGCTCCCTATACAGGTAAACCCAATGCTCACTGTACACTTGAGCTGTTGTGGTATAAACAAAGGCCTTACATCAGAGCTGGATGCCAAACAATGAATTCTTAATTCCTTATTTGAAATCCTTCCACTATTCTGCATCTAAATTTCATTTTTAAATAATCTTTGCTTTAATGAACTGATAGCCACCAGATAGAAGGGATGGCAAGCTTTAAGACCCTCAAACATTCCATTAGACAGAATCATACTCATGCCAATGTACTGCTGGTTCTTTATTTTCTCTATTTAAACCAAGTTGGTCTAAGGGATTTCGAAGCAGTAAAAATATACATGTTTCTTTTAAAAAAAACTTGTTGTGAGACTATGTTGTAGTCTTTTCTGACTTGTGTAATTGTTGTCCTATAGATCTTCAGTTGTTGCTTTACAGATATTTACCAGTATGTCCCACACGATAGAGAAGGTAATATGGGGAGACTATAATTCATTTTGAGAACCTTTTCTGCATATTCTGTGTCCTTGATGCTGCTTTCCCTGCTCCCAAACTTATGCTGTCTTCTCTTGCCTTTTCCAAAAACTAAGTGGTGTTGGCATTTTAAAACAACATCAAATTAATATTTTCACTTTAGAAGCACCAAAAATATTACCACATAATATTTTGTTCTGCTTTCAGGTTATCAATTTGAAAGTTATTGTGAGTTCATAAGCAAAAGTGGGCTGCATTGGCTTGGGAGAATCTCAGATTTAAAACTGAGATCAGAAAATTTCTTTTTAGTTTGGAATGGGATGAAGATACAGTGAAAATTTAAGAGCGATTCTATACAGTCAAGGGGCAGTCAATCAAATACATAACTATTCCTCCATTTGTTTGAGAAAGACTTTGAAGTGATGGAATATGTAATTGTGGGGCTTGAAAGTAAAGTACTATTAATGGTACTATTTAATGCCAGTTTAGGTAGAAACAAGGCTCTCATTGATAGTTCTTCCTGCCCAGCCTCATTAATCTCAGTGAGGCTTCTGGATAGTGTTTCCATGCCAGCTCTATGGAAGTAAATGACAGCTGCCCTAGCAAATTGGATATAACAAGTTTAGATCCTATAGAATCCATATAATTCATATTACAAAGGCTTTTTGAATTTGCAGGACTACTGCATGTTTCTAGATTACTTAGCATTTTGGTTACAATCTTGCTTTTTAAGAAACATATACCTTATATTAAGGGTTGCTTTAATGTTGCAGTGGTTTTTATTACAATCTTGTAAAACTTAACATATGTCTTTTCTTTCTCATTTCTTTTTTTACTTTGCACCAAAGTCTGTTGGTTTGGGGACTACTAACCTTGTAAATTGCAGTGTGTGTGCATTTATGTGCAATAGATGTGTATACCTTCCAGCTTCATACCTCAAACTTGTAATTGTGTAATACTTAGTTCTGTATGGTTGCACAGAGTGTCATAAACAATGAGGATTCTGGTGTCACAGTGAAAAAAGCATTTTGCCTAAACTTCTCCATTCTTTTTCCTTGTCCCATTATGGTTCACTGCAGTTGTTGACTGTGGTTTAGCAACAACCATGTCTGAATCTTGGTTACGATCCTACACACAATAAAGCAACAGTTTGGTTTGTCAGGCTAAGCTGTGCTCCCAGATGGTGTGCTTGCAAACAGGATGAAGACAGAAACTGCCTTAATCATGGCTTGTCTGGTGACAGATGTAATACTTACCCATTTGTCTGTAAAACCTGGTTTGCATCAATAATTTCAAACTATGGCTTCATATTTTGGTTTCTAGCCAGTCTAATTGTGGTGAAATTTTAGATAAAATGTTAGTTTAAACAAGTCAGCACAGGACCTGTGTGTGGGAGGACATGCTACTTTTTACAGGATCAGCCTTTCAAAGAAAATCCCATATTCACTTGTTTTTCACAGAAGTGTTCAGAAAAGGATTTCTCCACTTAAGCTGTGGAAATAGAGTTGGAGAAACCCTTGGTTCCTGACCTTGGATGGACAATCTGATAGTAACTACTTATTTGTTGCTGATGTTACATAAAACTTTATGTCAAAGTCTACACACTTAATTTGGCAGTATAGGATTTATTTTTAAGTAAATTTAGCTAGGATTGAACTGTCAGGTATGTCTCTAGCCAGCTTTAATCTGAAGGGTCCTCAGTGTTAGTTGTTGGAAGAGCTGATTTCTAGATGGGAGCTCTAATGTTTGCACATCGTGCTCAAAAAACATATAATTGAAATCCTGCAAAGGAAATGCAATGAAATATAAGATGGCATCTTTACAATGGAGATATTATTTATTTAACTGTAGATTTAATGGTTAGGTTTAAAAATAATTTGTAATGTACCTACTGTAATATCAGACTTAAAATAAAATTATTTTCAGTGTGAATAACTGTTTTTACCTGTTTATAACCCTGTAATATTTAGGAACTGGCATATTAAAGGAAGCAATCTTTAAATCTTACTCTTGCATTCAAATTCCTATTTCTTAGCTACACTTTGTCCCCTTAGATAGGAACTGTTCTGACTCAGAGTCTTTATGGGCTTGATACAGATCTTCTGTTCAACAAACAGAATGGCCTCTTTGAACATGTACTTAGTGGAGACTCCCACTGGAAGAATGGGGAAGGTACATTTCACCTATTTCTACTTCTTCCTGAATCGTACTTCCACCTACCTGCAGCTCTTTGAAGCAAATTTTGGAGATGGAATGGGAATCACTGAAGTCCACTACTTGTCATTGCCTGAGCAGTAGTGAACTCCACTTATGAATAAGTCTGGATCCAAGCCTGCTTACTGTACTATTGATGTTTCAATAAAGCTCTGTTCAACAGAGTTGGTAGTAACCCTTGCAGGGTAGGAAGCACAGCAACCAGGCAAAGATGGACAAACGGACTTACAGCCAATGCCAGTAATGAAGGCTTTCTCTGCATGTAGGTCAGCAGGCTGTCTCTGATGCCTTGAACAGGATTATCAGACAGATTTCAGGAAAAGTAACCAAACTGCAGTATTTAGAAAAATAAACAGTGCCAATCCCTTTCTAATCTGAAGTATTTTCTCTAAGATTCTAAGAAAGGAAGCCTCACTTAAAATTAACAACACTAGAAAAACTAGTGTTTGACGACTCCGCTTGGAATAGGCCCGAGACTGCAATCCTTGCCAAGGTGTAGGTCCCACTGAACTTCATGAGGTTTACTGCTGCAAGGGGAGGATCTTAAGTTCTGTTCAGAGTATCATCTAAGAGTGAACAGTACCGCAAGTAATGAATGGGTATTTTTTTTTTAAATTTTGAAAACGTTTCAGGATAAATATGTATTTTCTTTTTTACACTTATTGTGTAAACCAAAACCAAACCAAAACCTTAGAAAACAGTATTTCTATATGAAATTTGAGTAAATCTATTATATTGAATACATCTATACTATGTACCCCTATATATTTTATGTATAGTAAAATATACTATTTAGAGGTAAATATGCATAGACTTTAACAAAGGCAGCCCAGATATCTATTTGTCCAAATTGTGCTATTTCAGTTAAAAGAGCAAACTGCAGACTTCTAAGCATTATTTAGTGACAAGGAAACCCTAGAAACTGCCACCTGAGCTGCCATTTAGAAACATTTACAGTTTAAAGCCATGAGAAGTTCCATTTAAAACATGTAACAGGCTTTAATAGGTGGGGGCATCTTGATAAACATAAAGAAGGGTTCTTTTAAGAGTTAAATCACTATCTTTACATTTTGATCTTAGTAACCAACTTTTGCTGCTCCCCAGATGGATATAGTTGATTAAAATTAGACACAGATGAGTGTTGTGCCTTCAGTGTGATGTAAATAAGGATCTAGAAATGTGCAAAGTTCATGCTTTATGGAAAGATGGATCTTCCTGGACGGGTTTTATGAAATACATTTTTTGCATGGGATCCTTCCAATTCTCAAGTCTATCCCTACCTTCAAAGCAAATAAAAAATCCTAATGGGCACTACCACAAGTACACTCCTATAACTTGTTTAGATACAGCATGTCTTTACTTTCTTGATATTTCTCTCATTCTCTGTGTATGTAACACTGCCACCAGGAATTTAATTCCAATCCTACTAATTAACCTTTAACCTTTACCTCAATTCTGTGCCCAAACTATAAGCCTCCTTCATTGGCTTATGTGGATTATGACACTGCCATTCAGACACTCTGAGTTAACAATAAACAAAACAAAACTTTATTTGTACAATAAGCATATTGGTTTCGAGAGGTTTAGCAACTCATTTCCTTAGTGAATAAAACAATTTTGACTGAAGTTTCATTACTTTTCAAAGAGCGCTGTAGTTTTCATAGCTAGGATTGCCCGTCTTTGAAAGAGAACACAAAGCAAAACGCTTGGGCCCACCTCGAACTTCGACAAACATGTACTGAACAGTCCAACAGGATTGTGACCAGGAGTTCTCCCCATCTCTGTAAGAGTCAGTGGAAACCCTCAACGGATCCGTGCATGAGGACAACTGTACGTGTACTCGCCAAACATGGAGCGGGGGTGGGGGCTGCTTTATGCTGGGCTTCCGAACGGTCTGAACTACAACTATTCTTCTCTCTTACTGAATACACGTGGGAGAGGGGCAACAAGTCCCCTCAGTCCCCCTTCCTTGCACAGTCAGCTCGCAGGAGTCCTGTGCATGCCTGACCAGGGTGGTCCAAATGATATAAGGACCAAACCTTACCTGAAAATCAGCATATTGTTTGGGCAGCTGGTCACAACTTTCCAAAGAAACATCCCGCTGTCGTAAAAAGACTGCAGCGAAAAGAACGCTCTTTGAAATTGCCTCCTCCCGAGCTGCGGCAGAGCCTTCCGTTCTTGTCACTTCCGGCAGGACCTCTAACTGCGCGAAAGAGACCCGCCTTTCCTCCCAAAAAAAAAAAAAAAGAAGAAGAAGGAAGAAAGGAAGGAAGGAAGGAAGCATTCTCTACTTTTCTATCTCTAGCGACTTACGCCAGCTCTCAAACCGGAAGTAGGAAAGGGAAGGGAAGAAGTTCGCCTCCGATCACATGACGGACAGACTTTAAAGTGGGCGCGGCGTCTTCCGAAGCGGACTGTTAAGGTGTGTTCGTCGTGGAAGGCGGCGGGAGGGGCAGGGGTAACGTCGAGGGCTGTTATGGGAGCGTTTTGGGGCGAAGATGCTCCGGGTTCTGCTTCTTAAGGGGCGGGCGGTGTTGTGGGGCTTTCTATTCACTTGGGTTTCATTAGGGTTCAGCTGCCTCCGAAGAGGGAGGAGTGGGGCTGCAGGCGCTTCCCCGCTGCCCCAGTGCTCCGTGTAGCTGATTCGAAGGGATTCAGGACTTCTTCACACAGTTCGAGCAAGTAATTACGGCTTTAAGCATGGATTGGACACTTTCATGAAAAAGGCTATCAGTGGCTATTGATAGCTACTGCTTGTTACCTCAGTATCATAGACATCGTTTCCCTACATATCAGCTGCAGGGGAACATGGGTAGTAGTTTCCCATGGGCTGCTGGTTGGCCACTCGGTGAGCGGGATGCTGGACCAGATGCAGCTTGGTCTGATCCAGCAGGGCTCTTCTTACATAGAAACATAGAAACAGAGTGAGTCAGAAGGGGCTTCCTGGGCCATCTACTCGGACCCCGAGCTCCAGCTGGCTGCACTCATGACATGCCTACCATGTGCATGTCCATATTATGATGTGTCTTCTGCTTTCCTCACTCTTTGCTAGAACGTACCCCCTGTGCAGAGTTTTGCCAGCACAGGCCATGGAAAGGAAAACAAATCAAAGAAAAAGATGTAGATCCATGCATCCCTTCTCTGGTTTTGGCGTGGGAGGAGGGGGGCAATGACCACAGCATGGTGTAGCAGTTAGATTCATCTGGCTGGAAATGATGGGAATTGTAGACTAATGCATGTGAAGGGTACCAGCTTGGTTTTGGAAGCCTGGGGTGGAGTGATAAGGATTCAACCATAGTTCAATAGTACAATATATGCTTTGCACAATAAATGTTACTTGTTCAACTCCTAACCTCTCCAGTTGAAAGCATCGTTTTTGAAAGCCCCTGACTCAGTCCACTGGGAGCAGCTACTAATAAATATGAGGCAAATAGCCTGATCTGGGCTGAGGCAACTTCCTATTGATGCCTTAAGGTTAAACTGAAAGACATTGAGTGCAACTTCCAGCTTTGTTGTGAGCATAGTTCTAAGGCAGAAATATTGGTGGGGCAGGGGAGTAGAAGAGAATTTATTTTATTTAAAACATTTCTGTGCCGTCCCCATCGCACCAAAGCCTCGGGGCGGCTCACAAAAAATATTGTAGGAGGATGCTACATCATTTGCCCAAACTAATGATCCCCCCCCCCCCCCCCCCCCAGCTAGAGAGGCAATGTTTAGACCCCATCTTTAAGTTTCTCTTGAATGGCTTCCCAGAAGCATCACTCTATCACAGATCACTACACTACTCCATGTCAGACTTAACACACAGAATTCGCTTCAACAATCTCTCTTAAATATAGTGGAGGGAGAGCAGCTTTACCTTTTGAAATAGGGACACACCAGAAACATCCTCAAGCTTAGAAACACAATTGCAGGTTTATGGTCACAAAGCCAGCAGATCACAACTTGAATTTAAAAGGAGAAAGTATCTGCCAATTAGAAAAGGCATACTGAGGATGCTTGTTAAGTTCAGCCCAGCCCTAAGAAATGACAGTGTGGCACCTATGACTGCATTACAGAAGAAAATGACACACCGATCAGAAACATTTCCATGCCTTTGGTAGCATCCATCTTTTAAATTATTGGCAAAGTCAAACTCTGTGTCATATGCTGGCTTTGATACAGCTTTTTGCTCTCCATGTAACACATGTTTAGGAAAAGTTGTGGCATGACTGGGTGTAGAGCTTGGTTTTTCACAGGCTGGATTTGTCATGGGTTGATTCCTCAGAATTGTTTCCCTGTGCTGAGTGACTGTGCAAACAAACTTGGATTCTTAGGGAAGGCAACATGAGCATGATGTTTCTCATCAAATTAGCAGGATGATTGGAATCAGAGAAAGACTGCTGGAAATACTCTGTTTGAGGCAAACTGTGTTGTCATAAATTATGTAACTTTGTTTATTCCAGGGGTCTGGACAGTCCATTTGATCATAACATTTTTGACAACATGGCAGATGTAAGTATAAATATGTTTATAATGCAGGGGTCCCCAGTAGTTTTGGACTCATTTGGGAAACCTGGTGGGAATTTGAGAGGCTGCTGTGGGCACAACCACAAAATGCCTCATCACTGGATTGCCCTGATAATGTCTATCTGTTGTGCCTCTCTTAGGCCTATGTTGCACCTATCTGTTGCACCTAAGGTGCAGCTTGTTTAGAAAAACAAATTATTTTGTGTCTGTTGGATACCATACTGTATCTTTAATAACAGATTTCTTACCTTTACTTAATTATGGGTGGTGCAGTACAGCTAATGCTGCTTTTATTCTGGCTTTGGGTTGCTTCTTTTTGGAAGGCGATTATTTTACAGATACGTTATGTACTAGGTAAGCCTTTGATGTTCATGGATGTACATATGCTTTTAAATTATGTATCTGCTTCATAGAAATTAACAAACGGAAGAGGAAATGGATTTTCTATGCCCTTTTGATAGCTAAAAGTTTGAAATTACAAAACTGGAAGGATAAACACTCATTTCCTATAATGCAAGGGACTGAGGCCTTGACAGTGCTTTTGATGTATGATTGGGTGCCATATAGATACCGCCTCCAAATAGTTACTTTGCACCACTTTTGTTGAAGCCTGTATATAATTGCTATTTCATATAAATCCAAGTACGTTTATTTAGAACGGGGGATTTTTTTTAATGAGTGCCTGTGAGCACTCTTTGGGGAATCCCTTTGTGCGTTGCTGCATTACAGATGGTAATCTGTTAACAAATTATTTGTGTAAAATCTGGATATTTGTTCATTCTTTCAGTACTGCTTATGGAGTAATTAATGCATCTAATCAATCAGTGATTATGGCTATGAAAGAATCAGCCCAGAATACAAGTTAATTATTTCTTTATATGTGGCTAAGGAAAGTTGCTTTCTTTTTCTTTCTCTAGGATCTAAAAAGATTCCTGTACAAAAAGCTACCAAGGTAAAATACCTACTTATATCTGCTTTCTGCATTCCTGAATTTCACCTATCAATCAATCTTTGTTGAGATTTCAACAATAATCCTAAGCTGTCCTCCAAATGGAACTGCTCCATTTATTTCAATAGAACCTGCTCCTATTCTAGTGATATGTGTTAAGGCAGCTTTAACTGGATTGCAGCAGCCTCATGAGTATCTTGCAGAGTTGTTGCTTTCAAAGCTTATACCCTAAAGGTGCCCAAGCACCAGGCTGTCACACATTTATTGAGTCCTCGTTCTGAATTTTCTCTGCCTGCTTTGGTTCTCCTGATGCTATGGGCTGATCTACATAGCAGTAACCACAGGCTGGTGCTGTTCTTAGCAGGGGAGCCATCTTTCAGGCTCTGTGTAACATCAGCTCCGGCTCTTCTGCTTGGGCCAGACAACTGTGCAATCTTTGCTCATGAAGTCCAGGAGCCACTTTGGAGCTAAATTAAACAGCATTGGAAGTGTATTTGTTTTTTTAAGCCTTGTAATTTGGAACAGAATAATTGAGGAGCACTCTCAAAGAATGTTTGCTGCAAAAAGATAGGATGCTTCTGATAGGCCACAATCTATTGAATTCCATGTGCACCCATTTTCTCGGTCCCTTCAGTGTTTGCTGCAGTCCTACACAGCCCCCAAAAACCTCCTCCGGAATGTCAGGGATCCTTGTGAAGTGACCTGTGATATAATGTGGAGGTACACAACCAAGTGGGGAGGAGAATGCAGTATGCACACACACAGAGCATTCTTTGGACACCTGCCCCAGTTAATTATCTTGCTAATATTAAAAGGGTTCCAAAGTTTTTGCAGTACCAGCAGAGGAGACATTGTATTCAATAAACTTGTGTCATCCTTTTGTCCAGTGCATTCTGGGTAGAAAACATAGGATACCCTGGTAAATCATGATGGTTAAGATTGGCCTAGTTTTAATGATGTACCTGTTTCAAGTAGCTTCAGACTGTTTTCTGATTCAAGAATGGGAAGAATTGCATAAACTTCTAAATGTCATGAAAGAGCACTTAATATTAAGGGCAAGAAGATGTTTTAAATGGCCTTTCAGAGATACATTCCTGTTCTGTTGATTAAATAACCTTAAAATATGTTAAGATTTTTAACTTGTTTAATAAAGTTAAAGGCAGGACAGTTAGCAGCATCAGCACAGATGGACAACGGACCTTAAAGAGGTGTTGCTGAGTGATCTATTCCTTTTGCTTTCCCAGTGTGGAAGGACTTCATGCTATTGTAGTGTCAGACAGAGATGGTGTGCCAGTTATCAAAGGTAACTATTACATCCAGATAAATTGATGTCCTGTCAGAAATGATTTACTATGCTATAGGTATTTTGGTATTTTCTGGAAAGCACTATTTCTAGCCAAACTGAAATGAACGAACAAACAAAACCCCCCCAAGATGGTTTCATCCTTCATAAGGCACAGTGTAAAATGCTCTCTGCTACTTCCTGATTTCAAAGGGGAATATCTCTGTAAAACTGGACATGCACTCATGCACACCCACATGAGTTAATCACGTCGTTCTCTGGGAGCAGGAAGTGCAATGCCCTTTTATCGGTCATGATATGCTTTCCTAAATTGGATGGGGGGGGGGGAGGAGGAAGCTGTATATAAACTATTTCCTTGGTGTTTTAGGAAATGCTGTAAGCTGGTTCCACTTTGTTATACTAGTGAGGCCTGAAAATTGCTCATATTGAAAATCAAGCTGTACACAAAATATAATCATTAATACCCAGTAGTTCTTAACCCCTGTTTAAAAACAAGAAGAGAAGGAAGATTGTCAGATATCACGGACACTCATGCTGTATACAATTGTATAAGTATTGGTAGATTGGACCTCTGAGATATACTAGTACCCTAATAGTACTGTACACAAGAATGATGTGAGCGCACCCTTGCCATACTCTAATATAGCTGGTCCAACTTGGAGCCCTCCAGTTTTATGCTCCTGGCATTTCTGGCCAGTGGGCAAGCTGGCTGAGGCTAACGGAAGTCCAAAATACTTGGAGGGCACCACGTAGGGGAAGGCTGACATAGTGTAAGGGCGGTATTGGCCAGTGCCCTCTCCTGCTGCAGCCACAGTTTCCCCATCTTGCCATGAGAGCTTGGCTTTTGGACTAACTATCTCACCACAGTTGCACTGTTCTCTTGATCTCTTGGAGTCCTAAGCTTCCATGAGTGTTCACACTGCTATCCAAGAGAACGGTGGTTTGCCAGCTAATATAGATCCATGCAAAAATACTTAATGACCACATATAAAGTATTTTCTTCTTCTAGTTGCCAATGATAATGCTCCAGAGCATGCTCTTCGACCTGGTTTTTTGTCAACATTTGCCCTTGCAACTGACCAAGGCAGCAAGCTGGGGCTTTCCAAAAACAAGAGTATCATCTGTTATTATAACACATATCAGGTATGGCATTAGATACTGTCTTGGTTGTTAGCTAAAGAGTTAGTGAATGAATGAATGAATGAATGAATGAATGAATGAATGGAGCATTTGTCCTAACAACGATTTTTGTTACCACAGACATCTGTGTGTGTGCTTTCTGTTTACACCAGCACCCATTCTGTGCAAGATTCAGAATCTCTTCGCCTTCACTCAAGTTTAAAATTATTGGTGGCAGTTCTACATTTTGGACTCATTGTTTTGCTTGTGAAAGTGATTGTTCTTAAGGTCATGGTTGTCCCTTTCTCTACTATAATCCTGTCCCACCAACTACACATGTGGTGTTGTACGAATAGCTTACCCTGCCCTCTGACCCGTCTATCAGTGGCAATATTCTGCTCTGTGAATATGGCTCCTTACCCTGAAGGAAATAGGCTGGGAAAAGAGGATAGTAAAGTGTTAATTTTTGCTTTTAATATCAACACTATTCCTTTTGTGAATTTTTGAGGTGGTGCAGATTGGTAGCTGAGAATAAGGATTACAGTTGCTGAAACCAGTGATCAATTTAATGGACTTGTGAAGTGCCACAACATACCTATTGTATGATGAATTTTAACATCATTGTCCCATTCCTTTTAGGTGGTTCAGTTTAATAGGCTACCTTTGGTAGTGAGTTTCATTGCTAGCAGCAGTGCCAACACAGGTATGTTTTCAGGATCCAGACATTTTGCTTTCTTTGGTATCTAGAATACTCAGCTGAACTGTGGTGTGCACCCTGGTTTTTGGTTTTAAAAAGCACTGTGTGTGTGTTTGCTCGCGCGTACTAAATTATATGAAATTAGCAGGCAGATCATATCCCAGGTTGTGGCAGGAACAGTAGCCATAGCGCTACCTTATGCTAAGGTTTGGTTTGCTAAACAGAAGCAGAAAAGACAGGTGCATTGCTCTGCCTCCTGCCCAACAAGGATTTTGGCACAAACAAATGTTTCAGGGCATCCGGGTGTCCCTCAAGGAGGCCTGAATAGCTCTTTGCCCTCCCCCCCACCCCGCATTCACCCATCAACCTAAAGGACAAATACCCCTGACCCACAAAGGAGCTTCTCCCGAGGGCTGATTCAACAGAGCAGTTAGCAGCTACTGCTGCTTTAATGCAGAGAGCAGAGTCCAACCTAGAAATAAGACCAACCCTAAACCATGACTTTGTGCCAGTGCTGGATTCTCAGGCTGTGTACAGACTCTACCTTGGGGCCATTAGCCATGAGAATGCTTGCTCCTGCAGTGCTCACTTCTGTACCAAAATGTTGAAGTGATAATTTAGATTTCTCTGAATACTTTCTTTCAGTACCACTTGAATTCATGTTTACAAATGGGTTCTGCCAATATGATGTACAGCTCTTGTTCTTCTTTCTTCCCCTCCCTCTTCCCCCTTTTGTGTAGGATTGATTGTAAGCTTGGAGAAGGAGCTTGCTCCCTTGTTTGAAGAGCTCTGGCAGGTGGTGGAGGTCTCTTAACTCACTGTTTGTCCTTAGAGTGCAGTATCTCTATAGTTCCAAACAAGAATGGAAATTCAGTCATTTTACACAGCCCACCTTGTAATGAGTGTCTTGAAGAAAAGGCTTCTTTTTCTTATTCTGAGTTTTAAAACTGTACATAGTGTTACATCTAAAGTGAAGCATCATTGTATTTGTAAAGTAAGACTGAGAGGAGGGAGCTGTTACTGCAGCTGCATTTGCTAAGCTTATGGGGCCTTCTAATTACTCCCATGGAGTTAACCTCAGGCATACAGATCTTACATCACAATGGGAAAAATTATGTTTGTTCAAAATATGCCCCACATAACTATTCACTGTGCAGACAGTGAGGTTCGGGTCTGTCTTCTGGGGTACCACTACATACATTTGAAGTGAAAATGCATTTTCACAGTATCCTTCAACAAAATATTTCCTTACATTTTGCTCAGGAGGAAAAGATTGTGTGGAGAACTTTTGCTAGTATTGATGCACAAACACAATCAATGATTTGTGTTATATTTGAATAGTAAAATACTAGTAGCCTGACTTAGCTTTAAAGAAAAAACTCACAAAGCAGACATACACTAGCTTTATGCAGTACTACTTATGCAGAAATAAAATTAAAGTGTTCTCTTTCTATATGCTTTGTAAAATAGATGGTTTTAATCTGTTTCATCTCAGTTCTGTTTGATCTCTTAAGTGCAGGTAATTATGCTGGCTCACTTATCTTTGCATGTCCCTAAACCAACCTGAATAAAAGAATGAATAATACGTGTGGCCCAGTTCTTATTGAAGGGGGAGAAAAAGATCATATCACTTGCATCCATCATTAATATGTAGATTTGGGCACTGCTGTTGGTTTGGGGAAGGAAAAATGAAACATGGAAACCTATGCAAGGGTGAAACATTTTGTTAAGACAAAGCTTCTGGGAAAAATACAAACCATAACAGTTAGCTTTTGAATGTTTACACCTTTTTTTTCAAGTTTGGAAGGAATTTGAACTGCAAAAAGAAATAGAAGGGATGGAAGTCTTAGCTTGTTGTATCAGTTCAAAGTCACTATGGGCATAGCTCTGTGGCCTCTACAGAACATATGGAAGCCGTAGGATTCTTTGATGTCCTGACTGCAACTTACTGTCATCTCAGAGCTAGGATGTGGAAGACTGAGCCACTTCCCTGTGCCCTTGACCTGGCAATGCAAGGGCTGCCCCAGCCCCTAAGTTCACAGCTGAGCCTCAGAAGAGGTTGCTGAGGAGAGGAGACTGGGGCCACAGACTTAATGGAACTTTAGCCCTCTATTAGGGTTAGGGGTGTGCACCAGGGTAGGGTTAAGGTTAGAAGAAGGAGGTGTCCTGGCAGGATTGGCACTTGCCAGAGCGGGCATGCAGAGTCCTCTGTGTCAGCACGCGAGCCAAGTCATCCCAGCATTGCCCTATTAGCTGAGCATCGGATAACCACACCTAGGGGCCATGCACATGCTCAGAAAGTAGTGGCGCCAGGTGATGACATCACGAGCCGCAACTCATTAGCTGCTACTCGTCTGAGCTTTTGCATGCCTAGTCAGGGCACTGCCAAGGATGGATGGATGGATGGATGGATGGATGGATGGATGGATAGATAGATAGATAGCTTGGACTGACTGTGAGTTGTTTTTTCTAAACTAGAACCTCAGTTTTCAGGTTTTATTGCAGTGTTTGGCACTTTGCGGTAAGTGGGTTTTGGGTTGCAGTTTGGGCACTCGGTCTCTAAAAGGTCGCCATCACTGACTTAGACTATGGTGAATTCCAGTCCAAGGGTAATTGCATGAATGTTCTTGTTACATAGCAATACAAAAGCAGTTTAAAGTAACATACAGCTAGAGAAGGGTATAGATCCAGATGTATCTGCCAAGAAACCAATGGAGATAATAGGCTGCTCTTTATGCAGTGCAGGTAAAATGTTCATGTATTTATACATACATGAATGTGGACGGAGTGGCTAGTGCAAGCCTGCAAAAGATGGGTTGGGGCAAGATACAGGAAGAAAATGCCGCACAAGAATCTGAGCATTGGCCATACCTTTGGGAGATCAGACACAACTCCCTAGAGAAAATGCTAAAATTCTTAAAAGAACTTCTCCAGGCATCCAATGGTTTAGCATAAAAATGAACCTAGTTCTTTTGCTTCCATTGTTTTCAGTTTATTAGAAATTTTACAATAAAGGTACAAATACAATAGTTCCAAATACATATTTGAAAATACTATCGTGGTCCCATAGTTTACACACACCCTGATCTCCAGAAAACAGTATATATTGAAATGCTGCTGATACAGTAACATTAAATAAAAACTATAAAAATTATTATTTTACAAATATTTAAAAAATAGCAAACTCTAACCAATGAAGTGGTCCCAAGCTCTCTTGTCTTGCTGCATAGATGTGATTAGATAAGTGCTTTTAACACTCATTAATTATACCCATTCATGTACATATGCAAAACATTCTCTAATCCATATCAGTTATTTTTTTCTAATTAATGTGGCTTCCTAAGCCTTGACACTAGACTTGAAAGGTCAATGAGTTAAGCTTGAACAGCATATCTCAAGGCAAGCCTCTAGTGTGTTTGCGGTCTTCCCCTAGATATCAGAAAACATTTCATGCATAAAAATTGGAAGTGTAGGAAAACCTACAACCTCCTTAGGTAAGCGGTTCCTTTCCCATATTTCTGTAACAGGAAGTTGTTCATGAGGTTCAGCTGGAATCTGGCTTCCTGCGACTTTAGCCTATTATTCCATGTTTTGCAGTCTGAGATGATTTAGAAATGATCCTGGCCCTCTTTTGGGTGGCAATCTTTGAAGTACTTGAAGAGTGGTGGTGTATCTCCCCATAGTTTTCTCCAGGCTAAGCAAGATCAGTTCTTTCAATTTCTCCTCGTAGGACTCAAGTTTACAGTCCTCTGATCAACTTTGTTGCCCTTCTCTGAACCTTTTCCAGTCTATCTTAAATTGCGGTGTCCAGAACTGGGCACACCACTCAAGATGAGGCCTAACCAGGGCTGAGTGAAGGGGAACTAGTACTTCACGTGATTTCAAAGTGATAGTTCTATTAATGCAGCCCAAAATAGCATTTGCCTTTTTTGCAACCACATCATATTACTGACTCATATTCAGCTTATGATTCACAACAATACCAAGATGCTTCCCACTTGTAGTATTGTTGAAACAAGTACTCTCCGTCTTGTAACTATGCATTTGATTCCTTTTTGGTGCAGAACTTGGCATTTGTCATTCATTCTGTTGTTTTCAGCTCAGCACTCCAATCTATCAAGATTACTTTGAATTTTCCTTCTGTCTTGCAGGGTATTATCCACCCAGTTTTGTATCATCTGTAAATTTGATCAGCATTCCCTGCACTTTTTGATGCAAATCATTAATAAAAATGTTGAAAAGCACCCAAGAATGAATCCTGTGGTGCCCCACTTGTTACTTCTCCCCAATTTGAGAAGGTGCCATTGATAAGCATTATTTGAGTCTGATTCTGTAGCCAACAGTGGATCCACCTGATTGTGGTTCCCTCTAGCCCATTTTTAGCTAATTTGCTTATCAGAATATCATGAGGCACTTTGTCAAAAGATTTGCTGAAATCAAGTTTGATTATGTGCACATAACAGTCCCATAATCATCGTCCACCCAGAGTTTACTGAAAAAAAGAGACCAGCAATCAGAAACTAAATCCAATCAAAGAATGAGATCACATGTTTTACTGCCTAAAAAGTAGTCTAATGAATAGGGAAAACACTAAATCTACTTAGGGAATAAAACATAAACTAAAACCTATTTAGCTCGAACAGGCATAACACTACAGGATGTTATGGTTGTAAGCAGCAGAGCTATGCTTTTTCTGAAACCCAGTTTGTGAACACAATGTTCTATGTTTTTACTATGATGAAGCCATTTGAATTAGGGCATTTTCTTGTAAATGAAAGGAGCAAGGCAGGCAATTCCAACAAGCATGTCTGTTCGTCCATGACAAACCAAGGCCAGGATTGTAGCACATGATACAGGAACTTAGCAAATTTCACTAAAAAAATGGTACAAATAGTCAACAACATGCAGAACATGCCAGGGTTGAAAATAGGAGTTCTATGGCTCAAACCACGAAACAATCGAAGTTTCTTGAACTGACCACAAACTTGAATTTCACACAGATGCATTTAACAGATGCATTTAAACTGGAAAGACTGATAATGTGGCAATAAGGACCGGAAGGCACAACATCAGCAGGTATTGGTCATCATCACATCAAGATGTGTTGAAGGTCAATAGTTAAGATGGCTTTAGACAAATTCATGGAACAGAGGTCTTCTCGATGTCTGTTAGCTGTAATAACGAAACATGGAATATTGTTCTTCTAATGCAGCATTCTCAGATGTGGAGGACAGAGATTACTAGCTCTGTCATGTCTTGTTCATTTGGATGGGCACTGCTGAATTCTGAAGTTGATGAGTTTCTGTTCTAAAGAAGCACAGTGACTCTTGCATTCTTAATTACAGGTTTGATGGGACGCTGCTAGATAAGCGACAGAAATACTTATGACCTGAGTGTGGCTTCCCTCTGGCGTGCTTGCTTCCTTATCTGTGACTAGACAAAAAAGGAAAAGAATGAAAAATTAGACATCTGCTATTACAGTGTAGTATGATTTAACTAGCTGAAGCAGTGCCAACAGTGTGCCAGCTTGTGTTGTACAACAGGAGTGTACAGAAAGTAGACCTCCACTTGTTTCGAACTTCAGTTCCCAGAGATCCAGACCCTTGACCAAGCTGGCAGGCACCCCTGGGAACTGACGTCCAAAACATCTGAAGAGCTTCTGCTGACTCTTGCTGTACAAGAGGTAGCAGTAGCATACATTATTCATAAGACAGGCAGAATAAAGATGAAAGAGTGCGTTCATAATAAATGCCAATGTGGAACAAAGGAAGAGGAGCAAAAACAGGAGCTTTCATATTTGGTTACAGAACAGAAGGAAACTTCCCCAGAAAATGGCTGGCCAGATGCTGTTCCTTGGTTTGTCTTAGCTGCAGCTAAGCCTTGTGCCCCTTTCCTTCTGAGTCCAGTGCTGCTGGAAAGGCAGGACCACCCACTGCTGAGCTGCTGCGCCTGCCATTCTTCATCCAGCTTAGCTTTGCTCCAACTCCTCTGCTTTTCTCATTCAGCATGGAGCCCATGACTATCTCCCACAAATTATGCCATTCCGGGCTGCTTGCCCTCCTTTGCGTTGCTCTTTCCCCCTCCATTCCCACTTCCAGCCTCAGCATTTCCCTCATTTCTCTTCAGTTCACAGGTCTTCCCCTCCTAACCACAACCTTGCTCTTTTTCTAACCCATGGAAGCCACTTTGTGGTGGTACCCACAGAGGTTTCTCAGTTCCCAGATGAGCTCACGAACACAAAAAAACTGAGGGGCTGCCGTTTACCCAGACTGGCAGTGGCTGCTCTGCAGGGATGCAGGCAAGGCTTTTCCTTGCTCCATCTGGAAACCTAAGGCAACCGTTGAACCTAACTTGCGTGCTCTCTTCCAATGAACTACACACTTGGTTGATATGTGAGTTTGGTTTGTCGGTTGGTTTTCTAAATGCAGAACATAATTTTCTCTTTTAACAACTGGTAAGACCGAACTGGTGGAATTCAGCCTTACTGGAGCAGCATGAAATGTTTCCTACAATCATAAACACACCAAATGGAAGCCCCAAAGGATTAAGAAATATCAATCTAAACCAATGTGATAGACATTTCCTTACCAGCTTCCACTGCAGTATCTTAATCCATTCATCTGCTTCTACTCCAGTCTTTGCATAGAGATAATAAGTCCGCAAAGGGAATACTAAACTGTAAAAAAAGGGGAAAATAGATTTCATATTACAAGCATATGCGACAGTATTTGCTGCCAACAAATGTGCCGCATTCTACCAAGGGAATTGATATTTCACTATCCCAGTTTTCTTCCAAATAGGAATTGAAAGCAAATAACAAAATAATCCTATGACTGCCAGGCAGAGTCTAGGTAGCACAGGATAATTCAGAGTCCCAGTTCCAACCTCAGAAACTCATTTCAAGGTCAGATTTGGAACCCTGAACTCAGAGTGCCCTTCCTCCTGCACTTGGAGTTGGCATGGAAAGATCTACTCTGCCTACAGCTCCAGGGTTGCAAAAATAACGTCAGAAATAGACTTTTGGGGATGGGGAGGAGAGGAAACAAGCGCTGCCAACACACACAACAGCCTTGCAGTATCGCAGCCTCTCGTACACTGAGGCATCACACTCAGACAGCCAAAATTGGCCATCAAGGTGTTTTACATGGCAGGAAAAGCACGGAGAAAAGCTTTGCTTCTGCATACCTCTGGCCATACATAGGATGCCAGAAATGTTCCTAGGGTTATGACTATGGGCAGCCTCACTGAACTGCACTCTACTTAAACTTTTTGTTTAAAGATCAAACAGTATAGTCAATCCATGCATGTAAGAATGTTTTCATTGGTGGAATGTTGGATGATAAATGTTGGCTGCTAAATTTTTGAGAAAGCACTATAGAGGCCAATGAATAGAAGCTGGTAAGTTTTCATGTTTCGAGGCATTCCTGAAAGGCCAAAGTTCTGTATTGTGAAAGCACAATAAGCAGGAGAGGTAAAAAGGCAAGCGAAGGAGAATCATAAAATCACAGAATAGTAAAGTTGGAAGAGACCAGAAGGCCACTGGGTCCAACCCGCTGCTGCTGCAGGTCACCAGTTTACCCCATCCCACTCAGACAGCTGTCCAGTTTCTTTCTGAATGCCTCTAGTGTGGGAAAGCCTGCCCCAGCTGGATTCACCCACACTGTCCCATCCCACAGAACCATCTCCTCTCCATTGTCCTGTTGGAGGAATTCCAGGAGAGAAAAAGAAGTGGATGAAAATAACACCCCCCTGTTTCAGCTGGCCTTTCCCTGTCCGCCTAGCCATCTTCACCAACCACCCTGCGAGAAGAATCCTGATTTCTTGTTTAAAAATTGCTACCCTTGTTTATTGTAATTTCATTCTTTTCTGTTACTTGTAAGACACCTTTGACACAGAGATAATTATAATCGAATTCATGTGAGATAATTTACAATATGTAAAGTAGCACAAAGATGGAACAAGAGGGCAAAAAGCAGGGCAGGGAGAAACACGCAGTGCCTACAAAGAGCTGTTGAGGTGAGGATCCGAGGAAATAGGACAGTCTGTGAAATTCAAATAGGGTTGGTTTATGGGGTAGGAGTTCCCATGCTGCGGCAGGCTGAAAATAGGACAATTGGGCCTTCACTGGGGGCTTTCTGAAAAATAAAAAATTGGGGTACAAACTTGTGTATGTTTAAACAAAAAAATCTTACCTCTTCCAGCATGGTTAGTTGAGGCGTGCTTGGAGGTGTACTTGTTTTTTCCTATCTCAACAGGTTTATACTTTAATACATTTGCTCTCATGTATATGCAATATACATATACATGAGAATTCATGAGTATTAGAGCTTTTTGGGGAAAACATTTGTGCATCCTCACCCCAAGTTTTATTCAACTTACCAAAAACAATTTACTTTATCCTGTGAATAGTCAAACTGTACCGCAGAGCATTCTGTCAGGTCTAGGGCTCTGATTGGCTCTGTGGACTTGAAAAGAAGTTTGGCTTTGAAACAACTATTCTTTCCTCTTTTTTCATGAAATCAACAAAGTTTTGCTCACTCTCTCTCTCTCCCACACAAACACACTTTGCAAATAAGGATGAAGAGAAATAAATAAGAACATGTCACTGAATTTTAAGTCATTTCTGCTTTGCCCCTCAGCAATCTTGGTTTTAAACTTTATTTTTATTTTATTTATTTATTATTTATTAAAACATTTTTATTCTGCTTTGCATACATACATTTCATCTTTCCAGAAATGTAAACTGTTTTTTAATTCCACAAACAGCAGAAAAATACTCCCATTCTCCTTCTTCCATTACATTTATATCCCACTTTCTTCCTTTTGCAAGGAACTGAAGCCAACTTACAAGGTTCATTTCCTCTCTATTTTATCCTCGCAACAACAAACCTGTGAGGTCAGTAAGGTGGAGAGTCAGTGACTGGCCCTAAGTTACCAAGTGAGCTTCAGGTAAGGACTAGAACCCAGATCTCCTGAACCCCAGGAAACTCAGGTTAATAATGGAGTGCATGGGAACCTCAGCTATTCTAGGAGCCTGAGAAGGAATGGTCTTTACATAACTAACAGAAAGATCTACACCCTCAATGCAACATGTAACCATGTCGAGTGATTAAAAATGCACATCCAAGAGTAACTAGCTGACTCACCGTCTGGTCTTTATAATATTTCAGTTCATTCCTGTGCAATGTAAACCATCTAGTTTTCCAGTTCTGAAAGAACAAAGAGAAGATTTGAAGACTTCTAAGTAATGTGTCAGGGGAAGGGTAACACAGGTATTGAAAATACTTTTTTTCTCCTCTTCATGTTTGCTATTTCTACCAACATCCAGGTGGGAAATCACAGGGAAGAACACTAAAACTGGAAACTAAGAGTGGGACATAAGTAATAATATAGAAGGAGTTTTTTAAAAATCAGATATAGCATATGAGAAAGGAACAGAAAGAATCTCACTATTCCACTGCAACTGAACAGCATTTATGTTGCTTGTTACACCTCTGGCTTCTGGTGAGTTTTTCATCTGTCAGACAATCAACTCTTCAGTAATTCATAAAGTGCATACATAGCAATCAGTTCTCAACAGCCATAGCATCTCTCTCAAAATGCAGACTGATGAGAGCGATAAGAGGAAGGCAGCGGTGGTGGTCTGGGTGTAGCAGATTTTGCACACAAGTGCAAAGAAAAAGGAAGCTTCAAATGTTACTGAAAAATATCATTACAGCACTTAAAAATGGTAAAATGCCAAATGTATCTCAGTGGAACTGAAGGCAATTTCAGGGCACAAATCTTCAGCTAAATATTTGGTAAGATCACATTTCTCAATGAGAATCAACGTATTTTAACATCTGAAACCTCCTCCTCGAGCAATAGAAATACAATGGCAACCCATTAAATCATTAGCCACACACTGTCCTTTTATGACACCCACAACTGGCTGCCATATGTGGCCACCTCATTCCACCTAAGAGTATGGCTTGTGTCTAACTCTTGAGAATCGAAGTGTGAAGCCATTCTTTCGGACCCTGCTTTGCTCACAAAAGGCAATATAATTTTCCAAGAGCTGACATTCAGTATGTTGTTTAATAGTTTGGCTTTATATGTCAGAAGAAAGGAGATGCAGAAAAGCCTTGAACATTTCTTACCTTAACTATTCTGCCTTGTTTTGTTAGGTATCCTTCTTTTGTGCCCAGCTGTAAGGAAAACGATGAAGAATGAGAGAGCACATGGAGGTGGGGAGGGAGGGAGAAGTTAGTCTCATTAATGATAATGAGCCATTACATAACCACAGTATTGCTGAAGGAACAAAACAAGCCAAGAGCTTTTCAACCTCATAACTATCCATTCATTTGGTTCATCTAACTGTGTCACTACAGTCTCTGCCAAAAACATGGGCTCTACCTATACTTGAAGTAAACATACAAAGCAATTCCACTGGACTTTGGTGAAATAGCACCATCCTCCATCACAGATTAAGGCAGGTGCTGAGAGCCAGTGTGGTGTCGTGGTTAAGAGCATGGGACTGGGACTCAGACGATCTGGGTTCTCGTCCCCGCTCAGCCATGGAGCCCACTGGGTGACTTTGGACCAGTCACAGACTCTCAGCCCAACCTACCTCACAGGCTTGTTGTTCTGAGGATAAGATTGAGAGCAGGAGGAGGACAACTGTGTAAGCTGCTCAGAGTTTGTTGTAAGAAAAAAGGCAGGGCATGAATCTAATAAATAAATAAATCTCTGCAATGTATGCTGTCCAAGAATATTGCAAATAAAATCCAGAGAAAGTGAGCATCAGCGTCAAACAGTGTGTTCATTCTGTTCATGTGCAGTAGTGTGGCACTAACGGCTGAACTAGGACTTGCTGGCTTACAGCATAATGGCCACAGGACATTCAGAGCCTGGGAGAACAAGCAGCTTTGTTTCAACGTCGCTTCACAAGCAATAGCAGCTCTTTCTCTACAAGAAAATGAACATAAATGTCTCAAACGGCAACAAGGACAACAGTACTGCTTCTGAGTGCTTAGAGTGCTTTAAGTGTACTATCAGGTTTACAACACCCCTGGGAGGTAGGCCTTTATTATTTATTTCTTACTGAAAAGGGTGACCTGATATAGCAGCTTATTTGCATTCACCTACAGAGTTCATGGCTGAGGTAAAAATTGTACAAGATCTTTCCATCCTTTAATTCACACTTGCCAAGCACCTCACTAGACTCAATGGGCAACAATTGAAAAACAGACATCATGGCCTAGATGCTTGGAGAGCCTCTTTCAGCCTCAATGGCTCCTAACAGTCAGCCCAGAAAGACAGAAGTAACTCACCGAAGGTGCATTTGGAACAAGGTCAGTTTCTGTTTTTCCTGTCTGCATTGCTGTGTGAACTCGCACAGATTCATAAATGGAAGGCTCTTCCACCTTCCTGGGATAGGGGTGCTTCAGGATAATCAAGGTACCTAAACAAAGGAAAACACAAAGTCATGCAGAGACATTTTTGCAGTTATTACCCTGCCATAACCAGTGCTCAAAAGAGTGTGAAAAAAGCAAGTGTCCAATCTGAACTCACTGTTCAAATCCACAACCACTACTGTCCAGCAGTACCCTGAAGAATCCAGCTATGCTTCATAAAAGCAACAGGAACATTCCACTTCAGACACTTAAGTGGATCTTCTAACTAGTCTCTTGTCCTTGTCATGGGATATTTATTAAAGTGCCAGTTAACTGCAAGGGACACAGAAGTCTGTTCATTGCTATTTATTTTTTCTTTGCATTGCCATTTGCCGAAAAAGCAAAGGTGCAGGTCATTTGAATTTCCCCAGCCTAACCATCTCTCTCAATTTCCTTCTCCCTTGCTATGTACCAAGAGGGTTAAAGCTCAGGAATGTGAGCAAACAGGGTCTGACTGGGGTCCCAATTAGGCCCTCCAGGGTCTTAGAACAGCCACAACCTTCCTCTGTGCCCATCCCTCTACCTCTTCCTCCCACCACGACCTGGCTTTTGCAGCTGTTTCTCCCATTTTAAAAGGCTGAAATACCTCTCCTAAGGCTTTGCTAGTGTCAGTAAGAGCACTCAGCTAAAACACTGGGACTGTTAGCCTTTTCAGGCATAGCACCTTCTACCTGCAGCCCACTCTGAAATTGAGTTCAGCCCTGAAAGAAGTTTAGTACCCATCCTGTACAATAACTTGGGTGAATTAGTTATTAACTTGTCCATTGTCCCCATGCCATCCAACCCGACCATCCCTCAGTTCTACTTCAGGTACACCAAAACCTTCTCCAGGACCATCCGACCTCCATTCCATGCCCATTTCACACTAACCCAGAAGTTTCCAAAACCCCACACAACAGTCTTGGCCTTCTTCTTCTTCTTTTTTTAATTTCAAGAAGTGGTAAATGTATACTTGACATCTAAGAGATGCCCCTTAAGAGATGCCATTGCTTCTTTTTTCATTGAAGCAAAAGACATAAGAGAGGAACAAGTAAATAAAATTCCCCTCTTCTGCTAGGCTACAAGTAATGGTATGTCTGCCCTGTAGTTTAATCGCTCAGATTTGTCACAAGCTAGACACCACTAGTGAATCAGAGGTTTCTGGGGAGACATCTGATCCAGAATTATTGGATGAATTTCAGTTATTGCGGCCTGATGATGTGGACAAGGTGCTTGGACGAGTACGTCCCACCACTTGCCTATTGGACCCTTGCCCGTCTTGGTTAATAAATAATTCCAAGCACGGGATTGGGATCTGGATTTGTTAATTTGTTTTATGTATTATATTTTATGTTGTGAGCCGCCCCATTCGCTGAAGCCTCGGGGCGGCATAGAAATGTTTTAATAAATAAATAAAATAACCCTTTCAAGAAAGTCACTCTGTTGAAAATGTTCCCCAGTTGCAGAGCTCATTCTGCACCCTCATCCAAGTCCTGCACAGGAAACTGCCTTAACCTGAGCCAGGCCATAGGCCCATCCAGCCCATGACTGGTGATACGGACCGGCAACAGCCTTCCAGAGTTTCATGCAGGAATCTTTCTCAGCTCTATCTGGAAATGCAGCAGATTAAAACTGGGGCCTTCTGCATGCAAGTGTGCCTCTACTTTATCTCTAAGCTCCAGTGGCTCCTCTAGGGAAACTAAGAAATGCCCTATCTCCTTTCCAAATGCAGATCAGAACATGTATTTCTTCCCCAACTTTCTGCACATTCTGGGAAGATCTAGGATCCTTTTGAGGCATCACAGCATCTCCCAGTACTCCTTGGATCCTGGAGTGCCACACTGAGATTGTGTGCAGCTTCTCTGGCAGATATTCAGATATTGCCACTCAAGCTGCCAGTTGGGTCGCTTGAGCAGCTGAACTGGCCCAGCCCTAGACCGACAAGTGTGGTACCATCCTTCATCACACATCAACCACTTTAAGTCTTCACTGCTGTTATGATTAAACAAAGACTGAGAGAAGCCACTATCTTAGCAGGAATGTGACCTTCTTCTCCTTCTATCAGATAACAGAAGTTTGGGGAATTCTAATGGGACAGAGGAAGGATTACACTTTTTAATCCATTAGTCCAGTTTTTATCACCCAGGCTTTGGTGGGTCACAAGTGTATGAGATTGGGAAGCTCCCTTTCCCATCTTGCATCATATAGAAAAGCAACATGGAAGGACATAAGTTCATTGGCACGGTGAGGTTTAACAGTTATTTTCCAGCTGGTGGCACTGTCCATTTTAGGCACATGAAAGGAGTTTCACAGAGCTAGCAGAATCTGATTAGGCAGTTGGTAAGCCACTGGGCGAGTCTATCATTCAACACTGGAGATCATATTCACCGATATCAAATAGCATCAACCCCTTAACTGTTAACGGATATAACAGATGGCAGGGGAGGTGATGGTAGAAGGGAGAGTGAGGAACTACAAGAGTGTGCACAGCTCATCCAAAATATTAAAAATAAACTAATAACAAGCTGTAAGTTTCAAATATGTAAAAGGCTTCTAGGCAACAACGCCCACTCAGGATTCAAACACTGGGCTGTCTCCAACATATGTCCTCTGCAGAGGAGACCCAATGATATGAATGGGATTTGAGTTACTTGTAATGCATCTCTGTCTTATTTATTTCATCAAGTCTATGCTACATGGGGTCAACACCACATACTACCTCATGGGAAACATCTTGAGTGTGTTTCCCATTGGAACAAATGGGTGCTGTGGAAAACCAAGATTTTCCCCATGTTGCATAAAAATAATGTTTCTGGTGGATCATGCCATTTCCTTGCAGAGGGCAAGGATTTGACTTTCATTTATACTTTGCATCTTTCATCTCTGCCGCTCAAGCCAAGGTACATACGGTCCACAGGCAGGCTCCCTGATCAGACTTCAACCTGCTTAGCTTCAGCAAACTCGCCTCATGTCCCTCTAGCCAAATCCTTAATCTATTCTATTTACTTTTTCAAGGCAATTAAGTTTGGAAACTTTAAGAAATTGATGTGCAATTGTTACTTATCTGCAGTGAGGATAAAGAACAAAACCCCCTAATCTCTTGGGTTGCATTGAGCTCATGCTCCTCCAGAATATGGCTGCTTCCACACAGACGGCTTCTAATGCTATAAATTAGAAGACACTGAGCAGCAATGTATTTTCTCCTGAATTAATTTTCTGCATCAAGGAAAAAGATGGAAGAAATGATAGGGAACACACAAAATGAAGTGCAAGGAGGTTATAAAGTATTCCACAGATTAGTATATAGTACCCACAAGTCCCTCATCAGATGGATCTTAACTGAACACCCAAATCCTGGAACCAGGCCTGGTCCTCAGTGTACAGAGGCCCTGGGCAGTCTGAACAAGCAGGCAGGAATCTGATCCAGAAAAGATGTCCCCTCAACCAAGATAAGACTGTCAAAATATGAGTCAGAACTCCCAAACGCCCAGGGCCATTGCTGCTCCTGGGCCCCTGATCTCTAAGCCCTCCACCTTATTCTCCAGGGCGCCACAGAGCAACCACTGTTACCACAGTTCAGCTTATTCGCTATGAAAGATGGTGAATAAGCCAGAGAGCTTTGGCTATTGGGTGGTACAGAACATAAATAAATAAAGCAAGCAAGCAAGCCAAGAACAATTTTCAAGGGGGATTGTAGCTGAAGAGGGAGGGGTTAACTTTTTCCATTCCACATGCTGCAACACCACCTCACAATCTTCCTAGGGAAAAAAATGTTTCAACTGTTTTAAGGGTACTCTGGGTGCACATTAATTGAAGAATGTACTTTATCTGAGTTATCTGGATGGGAAACTTAGTTGCCTGGTTTAGTTCCTCTGAAATGTAAATGCATCCTACAAACGCATCATATGCAGATTTGAGTCCTATGAATCTTGGCCTGGAATGTTTTAAGTGCCAATCAGTGCTTGGCCAGATCTTACATTTTAGCTCCCATTCACATTATCAGCATAATCAGCTGATAATGGGAGCCTCTTCTTCCTTTTCTTCTTCTGGACCTGTACCAAGCACTAGTTGTCCATCAGAAAGATCCAGGACCACTCTTGTGTTAAATAACAGACCTATTTAGGAACTCCTTAACAACAGAGCTCAGGTTTCTGGGCTATGAGTCAGATAGGGTCACGTCAATGCGGGTTTAGCACTCATGTCAAGAAATAGATATGACACTTCAAAGAGATTAAACTCTTTCTGGCCTAGAAAGAAGTGGCTTTGAAAAAATGTTTCAGACCTCCCCCTTGTCTCTTTGTTCTCAGTCCCTTTCTTTACTAATATAAGAGGATCTTTTCAATTTGAAGCATTTCATTGCCCATTAAAATGAAATAGGAGAAAAATAATTCTTTATTCCTAGGAACATCAGCAGCTGGCTTCTACAGAGTCAGACCACTGGTCCATCTAGTCCAGTATTACCAACACTTATTGGCAGCAGCTGTCCAGGGCATGAGGCGGGAGTGTTTCCCAGCCCAACCTGGAACTGCGGGGATCACTTCTGGATGCAAAGCATATCACTCTGCTGCAGTCCCTCCTCACTGTATCCAAAATGCAGCATCCATACTAAGGCTACTAAAAAAAATCAAACACAGCTGCAAAACTGAGACACTCTAGTTAACTTTGAATTGTCAGACAACATCAGCTCTGATTCAAGGTTCTTTTTCCAGTAAAACCTACAGGGTACCAGAGCCTTGTGGGCTCTTTAACATACCATCTGCACAGGAGGAGGGAGGGGGTTAACAGCAGAGCCAAAATATTTGTTATGCAAGTAAGCAGGGAAAGGATCTCCCAAGGTTTTACTTTTATTTCTATTTAAAAGCAGACAGGTAAGAAACTCCAAACTGAACTGGAGAAAGCACTTAACTCCCTCCCCCAAGCTAGTCTCCCAGATTAATTCATTTCTTCACACGTGCCTGCTTTGAAGGGAGGGCGTATTTTATATTGTTTTTATTTTATATTGCTAATTTTATATTGTTATTTTTGTATTTTATTGTATTTTATTTTGTGTTGTGAGCCGCTCCGAGGCTTTGGCAAGGGGCGGCATAGAAATGTTTTAATAAATAAATAAAAATAAATTTTCCACAGTACGGCAAACAGCAGCTTCAGGGAGGCCAATTAAAAGCAGGAAAGTGGTGTTGGGCAAGAGTAGGGAACCTCTGCCCTGGAAGCCAGGTTCCCAATCCAGTTGGCCATTCCCCTTTTCCTGGCCCTGCCCTGTTTCTCTAGACCACCAACAGTTCAGTAGTCTCTTGGTTTTTGTGCCATTTTCTCTCTACGTTGAAGGATTGAAATAACTCTTCTAAGGCTTGTTAGTGGAACATTAAGCCAAAACATACTGGTAGTTTTAGTATTTAGGCCTACTCCTTGCCCCTGCTTTTTTTGCCTTCAGCCCAGCTACCACTGGAATGCTGTCCCCAAGAGTTTCTTCAAAATGGAATACTGCCCTTGGTGAGAAAGAGTTTCTGTACCCCTGCTAGAGAAAGACAAGGGGAAACAATTAGTCCTTTAGCACCACTGGGTATGAAAATAAAAGCAGTGGGAGATTCAGTCATGCACAGATCTCTGGCATTACATGGACTTTGACACTTGGCATACAGACTGTAGAAGAAGCAAGAGCTTTTAAAAAGTGAGGTGTGACTAGGTTTGTCTTTTGGCTCTTTTGTTGTTTTCGGTTCTTTTGTTTCCTTATCCACCCTGAATGATTCTTTGTAGGACTCAAAAGGTATTGATCTAGGCAAAATCTTTGGGCAAAAACAGCCTCTCTTTTATTGGAACTGATTTGATGCCAGGGGCCTTAAGGAAATTACCTCTCAAGTTCAAACATTCTTTTTGCAAAATATACTAGTGTCAAATGCCAAAGAACAAAAATGGGTAATCCAGGAACATGAGGAACTGTTAAGAATTAATTCTGGGAAAGTCAGATCTCAATGATCGTGGGAATGATTGGAATAACGTAATGGCTGTGTGTGCAAAAAGGTTCTCAACTACAAACATAACACTTATAATATACATTGTTGAAGACTGTATATATAAAAGCAAAGGCAAGTTACCTGTCTCACTGCCAATTAAAGGCTGGTTTGCAAAATGCATGATCAAGTCTTTCAGGCTTAGAAATTCATTAAAGCCAAACTTGTAGGATGACCCAGTGTACTCCACATGAAAATGTTTCACAGAATCTTTCGCTCTGGAACAAAAAAAGAAACCCAAGCTGTTGGACTATGTCAAGAGGTCTGAAGAATCATGAGAGAGCTGTAGGCAACATAATTTCTTTACTTTGATTGTTCATTGTCTTTGCACACTGCTTCATGGGGCTCCTCTCTCCATCCACCCTTCAAACACACTCACCTCAAAAGTCCTTAAGTTTTACACTCAGGAAGCCTAATTTGATGATATGTTTCCCTGTTCATTGTGTTCCTATTGCAGTCTGTAGAGCAACTGCAGTGGATCGCTTGATTTACATTATGGCCAACAACTAAAATATTCAGCGTTGCTGTGAAGCCAGAGTTCACAGGTATGCAGTGCTCAGATTCTTTTATTAGCAAGGAATCTGGCATCATCTGCCACCCCCCGCCACCTTCAATCTTCGATCGCAACAGGCAGAACGGGGAAGAGGAATGTGTGTGCATGCATGGCCGCTGACAGCTCAGTCAACATTGGAAGCAACCCTTCGTGCGGAAAAGGTTATCCATACCTGCTTTAAATGGTCCGGTTGCATTTTTGGGTTGCTATCCTAAGCTATGTGCTTTGAAGAAAGTCATACTGAAATCAATGAAATATCTTTTCCGAATGCATGTGTTCAAAATCAGAGATGAAAAACATAATGAATAAATGATGGATTCCTTTTTACCAGCGTCCGCATCTCTGAGCTGTAGGGTTTTTCAAACTTATCTGCACAACCAGAACGAGCAGATGCATTTTTTGTTGTTCTTACTGAAAGCCTCTGTCTGTCTGTCTGTCTCTGAGCCTGCATATAGTTCACGGGGCATGAATGTTCCTAGCCCTGCTTTAAAGCACCCTGAATCAAGATGACAAGTATCATCTTTGCCACACTATGTTTTACATATTAATTAAAAGCATCAATGATTCTACATCTCATACATAGTCTTTGCTTTTTAAAATGAAGTCACAC